CTTTCCTCCACTTGCAGCTGCTGGATAACCTTGAGCAAGCCATAGTTCTGTCAGAGCTGTTCTCTCAAGGACAGTTCTGAAAAGAGCTCTCTCAGCCCCACCTACCTCACAGGGTGTCTGTTGTGGGGAGGGGAAGGGAAAGGAGTTTGTAAGCCACTCTGAGACACCGAGTGAAGGGCGGGGTATAAATCCAATCTCTTCTTCTTCTCTTCATCTCTTCCCCAAATCAGAAAGCCAATTCTGACTTTCCTTCACCTCTACAGACTAGGAGAAGTTTCCTAAAAACCTAGAAGGTGTGACCTTTGTGTTTGCAGGCTGGGAGCACCCATTTGGAAACAGTGGCTTCCATCCTAGAAGGATGTTTGGCTTTAAACTGTCTAACCTTTATGTAGAGCTTTCCAGTGCTTTGTGATTGGGCAGCCATGTTGTTGCATCCATTGCCTGTTCTTGACATTAAACAGGGCCTGCAGGTTCAGCAATGTTGGGTGACCCCTGAAATAGAGAAGCTCTCAGGTTCAAGAGACAAGAGACAAAGCTACTTGGCATCTCCATTCCAGTAATTCACTAGGCATGTACTGCTTCATAGTTCATAGGAAGCTTCTCGTTTTTTAAAAACAAACAGCAAACTTTGAGAAACCCTAGTTATAAATCTGGGAAACTGTGGGACGGGGCTTTGCTTTAGCCAGGGTGCTTTGGCAGAGGGTGGCCATTTGTTCCCCTTCCCTTGTTATTGAAGACTTGGATCAAACGAAGTGTTAAGATGAATGCATGATTCCTTGCCAGTGTGGTGTAGTGGTTAGAGTGTCAGACTCAGATCCACGAGATCCAGGTTCAGATCTCCACTTCGCCATGGAAGCTTACTGGATGGCCTGGGGACAGTCACACAGTCTCAGTCTAACATACCTCACAGGGTTGTTGTGGGGATAAAGCACAGGAGAGGAGAACAATGTAATCTGCTTTGGGTCCCCATTGGGCAGAAAGGTGGTGTATAATGAAGAAGATAATTGTATATACCCATGTTGCAGAACCTCATGGTCATGGCTTTGGTACATGAAAGTGACTGGGTCTTTCTCCATGTTCCCTCCCACCTGCCCGCTTCTTTCAGTCATGGATCTTATGCAGATGGACCATACCAAAATTCACAGTTCCTGGGTGTTGTCCCGTGTTTCCTTTCAGAAGACCCTGCGTAGAAACAATGGTCATCCGGCAGATCTGAACAAGACCTGTTCAGCAATGCTTGTTGTCGTACTGGAAGGCTTGGCAGGATGGTGGTGGGCGTTGTGGAAGGAAACGCTCCATCCATCCGACTCATTCATTCCTTTTGAAAACAAAACACAACGCTACAACCCCAGGAATCTGTCTTAGCTGAAGTAGAGAGAGGTAGCTGTGATAGGAGTGCCTGAACTTGTTGGGTAAATTGACGGTGGCATGTGGTATCATATGGAGATACACGGTCCTGCAGGCAAGGTGTGTATGAAGCTTCCTTCCACTAAATCAGACCATTGGGTCTGTCTAGCACAGTATGGCCTACCCCAACTGGGAGCAGTGCTCTTTCCCATCCTTTTTTGCATGCCATCCTTCCAGATGGTGATAATGGGGATTGAAGCAAATGCAAAGGCCATTGAGATGTGGTTCTTCCAGATTGAATTGCAGTTTTTCAATGGACGCCCACCGTCCTTGTCCTTTCACAGCGGTGTCGACTGAATATTTCTTGTTACTCAGCTTCTATTAATCTTAGTCATGAGCCTGAACACAACGGGGCCTGCCTATACATTTAATATGTCAGAAACGAAATGGCACTTTTAACAGTGTTTTCTAGAAATTTAAGAAAAGATCGCCACAGGGGATTCTAATAAGAACGGTCATTAGATATCATCTATAATATTTACGCTACACTTACCGTAGTTCTGTGCTGGTGACGGGAATGGGGGGGGGGGGAGAACGGAAGTGAGCAGCCCACAGCGTGATGTTTTAAGATGCAATAAACACTGGATTTGACCAGGCATAAACTAACTTAATAAGTATAGTGTGTTGTAATGTTTAAGTCAGATCTCTGCAGATTAAGGATCCTATGATAATGTTTCCCCTCATGTTTCTCTCTGGCCCTTGTAGCGTTTCCTCTGCTGTGGCACTCACTTCCTCTCCTGCTGACACTTCCACGTGTGGCAGGGATCCTTGGTGTGAAGGGGATCCTTGAAAAAAAATGTTGCTTATGCACAAGTGCTAGTGACAGAGGAAGCAAGTGCCACAGTGGGAGAAAGTCTCTGCAGCAGCTGAGTCATAGGGTCTAAGTCCAGATTTGGCACAATGGATTGATAGAAAAGGAATGGAATCTATCTCATTTTGATAGAAATTTGATAGCGAGCCAAAGTTTGTATATTCTTCCTTCTATCCACTTTAAGATAGAAAGGGTTGTGCATAAAATAAATCTGAAGTATCATTATGGTTTGGTGAGCAGGATGGTGAATTTGAACTACGAGAGATCTGGGTTAGCGTTCCATACTTGCAGAGTCATTGGGGGCAAGGTGTTTTCTCAGTTGAAATAAAGATAATGGAGCTTATGGGTGATCCAAGGAGATAAACTAGGGATCCCCAACCGTTTTGAGCCTGCATGTACCTTTGGAATTCTGACACAGGGTGGTGGGCACAACTAGAATATGGCTGCCACAAAATGGCTGCTGCAGGAGGTAGAGCCAGCCACAAAATGGCTTCCATAGCTTACCTTCAGTTACTTAGTGAGGATCCTTGTGCTGTGGTGGCAGTTTTGCTAAAGCAATGTTTTTAAAAATCTGCACAGCCGATCAACTCTCCAGTGGCTGGTCAGGAGCCGTGCTGGGCAAAAGGCCCCCCAGGTCCCCCCCTTTCTAGAACATTTGTTGGGCACCACGAAAGGTGTTGCCAGGTGCCATGGCACCCATGAGCACCGTATTGGGGACTCCTGAAGTAAACAGTGTTTGCCTTTGAACGTGAAGTGGTGCTGCCATGTCTGAATGGCTGCTTACAGGTTCATGGATCTAAATTCTAAAGATTGTTCATTGTACCATCCTAAGGAGAATTACACCCTTCTAACCCCTTTGACTTCAAGGGCCATTGATTTAGAAGGATGTAACCATACTGGCAATTGCATAAAAACTTGAAAGGGGGAGGACCTAAAATACAACTGAATAAGAATCACCAGCATTTTTTATTTGCTGAACATTTTCCCCTCATACAAAGCATACTTTTTTTAAAAAGGAAAATCTTCTAGTAACCAATGCTACCTGTGAGGATGAGGGCATTTCTCTCTAGCCCAACATCCACATTCTAAGTATCCCCAATAGCTTATAGTGTTGCCAGTCTCCAGGTGGGACCTGGAGAGCTCCCATAATTGTACGTGTTATCCAGACTACAGAGATCAGTTCCCCTGGAGAAAATGGACGCTCTGAAGGATGGACTCTATGGACTTATACCCTGCTGAGGTCCCTCTCTTCCCCAAGACTACCCTCCAAACTAGGAAATTCCCAACCTGGGATTGACAACCCTAATAGCACTTGTTCATCAACAGTCATGTTTGCCAAACTGCCAACAATCTCAACTATCCCCAGTAGGTATTCCAAATCTTGTCACATGTTCAGTTGACCGTTTTTCATTCTGTACATTGAGATTGTTGCTGTATCACTGTAGTGAATCCCAGAGTCTGTTGAATCCATTTCTAACAAGGCTACTGGGAATTATTATGGGCCCCGCAAAAAGATTCCTTCTGGGACCCTCTGCCCATACAGTGCAGAGACAACACATGCATAATAATGGAAGCAAATAATTGGACATATCCAGTTCTGTAGGCGCCTCAGATGGAGCTGCGGTGGCTCAAGTGGTTAAGACGCTGAACTGCAGGCTGTGGAAGGTCTGTAGTTCAGCAGTTCGAGACCCAAGTGTGCAGCATGACGGAGTGAGCTCCCGTCTCTAGTTCCAGCTCCTGCCAACCTAGCAATTAGAAAGCAAGAAATTGCAAGTAGATAAATAGTTACCACTTCAGTGGGAAGGTAACAGCGTTCCGTGTGCCTTGGTGTTTAGTCATGCCGTCCACATGACCACGGAAACGTCTTTGGACAGCGCTGGCTCTTTGGCTTTGAAACAGAGATGAGCACCGCAACCCTAGAGTCGGACTCGACCTGCTTTCAAGCAAGGGAACCTTTACCTTTTAGGCACCTCAGAGTGACCAGGCCCCCCGGAATTGTGTGTCTCTAGTGTCCCCCTCCTTGGCAATACCAATTCCTTGCTTCTTGATTCCTTTCTGTGAGAGCAACTTCGCTCTCCTGGCTAGCCAGTCTAGTATTTTTAGTCTGAAATTCCCTTTCCAATATTTTGAAAAATTACAAAGTAATCTTATACAGAATTATTGATCTCAGTGGCTTTAGAAGGATTATACCGCAGGTCACGGTGCTGTATAAGAGAAGAATGGGAATATTGATAGCAATAGCATTTTTCCCCAAGTAATTTAGAAGACATCAAGGATTTAATTTTGATCGTCTATGAAAATTTTTGTTAAGCAGTACAATTTTTCCAAAATTTGGAAATAATTTAATAGGATAAAACGGATTGTATATCACAAGTCTAATATTAAATATACATATTGTCTTGAATATTTGGACACATTCAGGACAACATGTCTTAATGTGGCCCTAATAAGAACTTAAGACCGCGCACTCTCATCAAATAAATTAAGCCTAAAAAATGCCATGTAATATCTGCATTCTGAATCATCTGCATATAAATGACACACAAATGTGAAGACAGATTTTTTCCATTCTCCTCACAAACAATCTATAATAAACATTCTTCAAAAGGGTGAAAAAAGGAAGTCTTTGAAGAAAGCAAGATTTCTAGTAGAAGTGATAGGTAGGAATAACAAACATTGTGGTGAGATATATTTTTTTACAGAATGGCTCTCTTGGGTACCTGGACCAAAGTCAAGGGTTTTGGTCATGATGATGATGTTATAAACCTTGTGTTTGTTGCAGGACCTCAGGGCAGAAACCCCACTTGGTGATCTATGGCATCATGACTTCTGGGGCAGCAAACTGAGTAGCAATACCAGCCACAAATCATATCGACCGCTTACTGTACTAACATTCAGGTAAGACAGTGTGGGCCATGCTTAAGACTGCTTTTCCTTAAAAAAAAATCATGTGAAGAGGCTTTAAAAAGGAAGTCACATTTATTGAGGGACTGCATTCGTTATGAGTGGTTGTTTATAATCTTTTAGACCCACGGAGCAAGATTCCTGTAAGCAGACCCATCCAACCATCCATACTTCTGAAGCATCATCCAGACATTCTTTAAATGAAGTATCACAACCGTCCATACTTCTGAAGCATCATAGTATCATCCAGACATTCTTTAAATGAAGTATCCTTTCGTGCTTTCTCCCTGTTGTTGGAGACAGCGGGAACATTGCGTCAGTGTCCAAAGTTGTCGTGATTTCCTGTTGGGTTGTGGAGGCACCAGAAGTGCAGCCAGCTTGCCCTGAGGAGATACATGTCACAGGTCTCCACACCTCTCTCTCTTTCTCCCTCTCCCGTACATACATTTGTAATGCCACATCACATAATGCAGGTCTGTCTTTTTTGACGGACTCTGGAAGCTCATTAAAAAAGAGTAACCTCATCAAGGAAAAAAGGAAAATCTTATGAAAAGAAGGGAAAGCTTTGGAGGAAAAGATGAACCTGCTGGCGCAAAGTAGTGATTTAATAAATTATCACGTGTGCAGGAGAAGCGAACTCAAGGGAGACGTTGCTCCTCCATCAACAGCCTGTCCCTCTCTCTGAGAGCCAGTTTGGTGTAGTGGTTAAGTGTGCAAACTCTAATCTGGGAGAACCAGGTTTGATTCCCCACTCCTCCACTTGCACCTGCTGATGTGACCTTGGGTCAGTCGCAAGCTCTGGCACAGCTGTTCCTGAAAGTGCAGTTTGTGTCAGAGTGCTCTCAGCCCCACCCACCTCACAGGGTGTCTGTTGTGGGGAGGGGAAGGGAAAGGAGTTTGTAAGCCGCTCTGAGACTCCCAAGTGAAGGGCGGGGTATAAATCCAATCTCTTCTTCTTCTTCTTGTCATGAAGTCTCTCAAGCTTACCGTCTCCTCCTAGATGCACAATGTTCTTTATGAATGACGTTTTCCTTTGTGCCCAGTTTAGCACTAAAAGGTCAAACTGGAAAACGGCAGAATTTTCGGGAAACAGCAGGGACCGAGGGATACCCAGGAAGATTGCACATTTTGTCCTTGCCCATCTTCTCCTGTCCCCTTAGGTCAACAGATGGAGAGATTGCTGCAGGATGACATTGGGGGGGGACAAATTGCAGTAATAGTAGTTCAGCAGTGGAATCAGCTGCCCAGGGAGTGGGTGAGCTCCCCCTCACTGGCAGCCTTCAAGCAGCAGCTGGATGAAAACTTGTCAGGGATGCTTCACACTGATCCTGCACTGAGCAGGGCGTTGAACTAGATGGCCTGTGTGGCCCCTTCCAACTCTATGATTCCATGGTGAACTTATACTATGTGTGTCTTAACAGAGATCAGGTTGGCCAAATGGGTGAGTCCAACTTTCTCCTCCACCACCACCATTTCAAACAAACCCTTGCCTGTGAAACATAAGCAACATAAACTTATTAGGGTGAGAGGGAGCCAAAACGGGATTTACAGCCATTTTTTCCTATCAGCCATGTTGGGGAGAGGGGGGGGGGAGCACTATGGTGACCAGTGTTCCCTCTAAGCTGAGTTAGTGTGAGCTAGCTCACAGGTTTTTAGCGTCTGCCTCACCCATTTCTGTCTTAGCTCAGGAAGGATGGCTCCAGAGCAAACTAATTTATGCAGTAGCCAAATCGCTCGCTCACAACTTTAATGCCAGTAGCTCACAAAGTAGAATTTTTGCTCACAAGACTCCACAGCGCAGAGGGAACATTGATGGCTACCAATGGATCAGTAAGAAAGGACCTTATTATGTAGGTCTCTCCTACCCCTTTTCCTTCCAAAAAGGTGCCCAGGCCTACATGAAAGTCAGAACCCTCCCTTTATCAGTGCTGGTTGTGAGTACTCAGTGCAGAGCGAAAGGCACCCTTGTATGTAGGCTTTTTTTCTAGAGCTGAACCTTCATGGTTCTGGAACTAGGCCTTGGGAAGCCCTTGCTCACCTTCAGCCCAATTTCCATGTAGCTGGAGAAGACCAAAGGGATGCACGAAAAAGAGGAAAGGGAGATGAGCAAGCAGGAAATGAAAGTATGAAAAGGCAAATATCGAGTGGGGAGGGGACAGAAAAAAGAACTAAAGGGAGAGAAGAGGACCGAAGGGCTGTTTGCTAGTCCCAGTTTTAAGGAGCGTCTCTGCTCATAACTTCTTTCTCCAGCTCTGTATAAATAAGCTGGAGCTAAAAAAACCCACACTTTCTGTGCCATGTCTATGCAAACTTGGTGCAAGCTTCGCTTCTAAAACACTTTGCTTCCTTTAGGAACTTTAAAAAACAAACTAACCTTTGTCCACGTAATCTAAATGCTTACCCTAATTTCTAATTTAAGGTGTTTTTCCCTCTGGTATAGGATCAATTATTTTTTAGCTGGAGGCTTCTACCCATTGGGTTTTCACGTCATCAATATAATACTCCATTGTGTTATCTCCATCATAATCGTTGATGTCTTCTCGATACTGTTGGGTGGGCTGCAATACACCAGTAAAGGCAGAAGACTAAACTTGGTTCCCAAATCGTCCCTGCTGGCTGCTTTACTGTTTGCTATCCATCCCGTTCACACTGAATGTGTAAGTACCTAATTACTCAAGGATTAAGAAGCACTTGGAAATGGCCATTAACACTACCTAATCTGCTCCTACCTGCCAGTACACCTTTTATATGCAATCCAAGTATGTATTAGTATATATGCGTATAATCATCGCTAGCTCTTGAAATCTTTGTATTGATGTAACAGTGGGGTTTTTTTTGCAATTGAGTAATACTTCTGAGGTGAATTTCACTTGTAAATGATGGAAACTCATTAGAATTTTTGTCAAAATGGCTCTTTTTTTGTTTAAGATGAGACAGATTGAATCACTGGAATAAGGAACAGACCATCTTTTCTGAAAGGTCTCAAGACTGGTTGTACACTTGTGGGAACAGTGGTGATCTTTGCATGTGCAGGACCGGTCCCTTTTCCTTTTCCGTGCACAAAATGTGTGTTGGGAGTGGGGGAGCTCCTATCTGAGGCCTGTAACCACTTAATCAATTCTTCTGATCCCTGCATTGAAACCAGCTGGCCAGTGCTTTGCATTCTAAGGTTAAGGTTAAGGCAGCTTTCAACGAAGCTATCAATCAAAAATCATTCCCCTATGTAGCCATAACATTTGTAATCATGAGGATTACATGTGGATGCCAGAGGGGGTGCCCCTCAAGTGTTGCAGCACTGACATGGGGACTTAACATAAGAGAAGCCATGTTGGCTCAGGCTATTGACCCATCCAGTACTCTGTGTCACTCAGTGGCCAAAACCCAGGTGCCATCAGGAAGTCCACCAGCGGGACCAGAAGTCCTCCCACTGTTGCCCCCTCCACTACCCAGAATACAGAGCATCACTATCCCAGACATAGTGCTCAGTCTATACTTTGTGGCTAATACTAATGATGGACCTCTGCTCCATATGTTTATCCAATCCCCTATTGAAGCTGTCTATGCTTGTAGCTGCCACCACTTCCCGCGCCAGTGAATTCCACATGTTAATTACTCTTTCGGTGAAGAAGTGTGTCCCTTTATCTGTTCTAAGCCTAATGTTAATTAATTTCATTGAGCGGCCACAAGTTCTTGTATTGTGAGAAAGGGAGAAAAGTATTTCTTTCTCTACCTTTTCTATCCAATGCATACTTTTGTAATTCTCTGTTATGTCACCCCTCAATTGTCGGTTCTCCAACCTAAAAAGCCCTACCCTCTTTAACCTTTCTTCATAGGGAAGATGTTCCATCCCCTTAATTATTCTAGTTGCCCCTTTTCCAGTGCTATAATATCTTTTTTGAGGTATGGTGACCAGAACTGTCCACAGTATTCCAAATGAGGCTGCACCATAGATTTATACTGGGGCATTATGATACTGGCTGATTTGTTTTCAATCCCCATTCCCTTTTTTTATTGCACTAACGAACTGAGTTGACACCTTCAGTGAGTTATCTGCTATGACTCCAAGATCTCACTCTCCTGGTCAGTTACCACCAGTTCAGACCCCATCAACATATATTTATAGTTAGTATTTTGGGATCCAATGTGCATTACTTTGCACTAGCCCACGTTGAACCTCATTTGCCACATTGACCCCCAACCTCAACAGATCCTTCTGGAGCACCTCACAGTCCTCCCTGATTCTCTCCACCCTGAATAACTTAATGTCATCCACAGATTTAGCCACTTCACTGCTTACTCCCAACTCCAAATCAGTAATGAACAAGCTATGAAGCACTGGACCTAGTACCAAGCCCTGCAGTATCCCACTGCCTACCACCTTCCACTGTGAAAATTGCCCATTTATACATGCTCTTTGTTTCCTTCTTTCCTTTTTCTTCTTTGTTTCCTTCTTTTCCTGTTAATTAACCAGTTTTTGATCCAGAAGAGGCATTTTCCTCTTATCCCATGACTGCTGAGTTTACTTAGGAGCCTGTGATGAGGAACTTTATCAAAAGCTTTCTGGACTGTATACCCTCTCTGACATACAGAGCTACTCCACCTCCAACCCTTCCCTCCCTATCTTTCTGATTTACTTTATAGCCAGGAATCACTGTATCCCGCTGATTATCCTCATCCCACCAAGTTTCTGAAATGCCCGCAATGTCTATATTCTCCTCTGACACTAAGTACTCCAGCTTCCCCATTTTACCTCGGACACGTCTAGCATTTGCATCTGTAATTCCCCAGACACATTAGGCCTGCAGCATTTTCCCTATGGCCTCTAGACCTTGTCTGGCAGTCAGTATTGTTTGTCACCCTCTCAGTGGCCAGTCCTAATCCATTTCCCCCAGAACAGTAACAGCTACTCCTTCATCTCTTAGAGATGAGCCATCCCAAACCAGAGACATTTAATCTCCTGTCAACTTTCTCCCAGGATTTAGTTTAAAAACTGCTGTGCCACCTTTTTAAGCGCCAGCAGCCTGGTTTCTTCTTGGGACAAGGGGAGGCCATCTCTTTTGTACAGGTTCTGCTTGTTCCAAAAAGCATCCCAGTGGCTAATGTGGTGTATTCAAAAAGGCTTACGTGAATCGCCGCATGACTCCCCATGTTAAGCTTCGAGCCAGACGAAGGCTCCTCTGAACTAACTTACTATTGGTCGCTTCACATCAGCGACCAATCAGAACTGCTCCAATTCCCTGCGAGGGAAGAACTCTCGTTGGACGTTATCCGCACAACCTCATTGGTTGATTATTGTAAATAGGCGTGGCTATATTAGCCCGGGAATGTTTAAAAGGAGCCTAGCTCCCAATGTTAATCTGTTCTGGTTATGACTTCTTTCAAGCGCTTGTTTGTACCTGCAATAAAGCTGATCACTTGTGTTGAAATCACTCTCCGGATCTTTGTTAGCGGCGATCTAACAGCTAACAAACTTAAACCCTTTCTCCCTGCACCGTCGTCTCATCCACACATCGAGACTCCTAATTTGTGCCTGTCTAGCTGGCCCTGCACATGGAAGACGCAGCCCTTCTGAGAAGGCTCTGATCCAGTTGCACCACTGACTGTCGCTGAGTGATCTTGCCGCGTGGTGCTTTCTTCCGTTGTGCTTGGAGATGTATTTTTTTAAAAAACCAACCTGCTAGAGCATGCTCATAAATATGAAGCTGACCTTAACCAATGAAGTCTGAGAGAGTGAGAGGCCTGTCTTCACTGCAGGATAAGCATTTTATTTATTTATGTCCCACTTTTCTACTGAACTTCGTACAAAATTGTTCTTGCCTCCTCCATTTCCTCCTCACAACAACATACTTGTAACAACAAGAGCCCTAAGAGAATGTTACTGGCCCAAGGTAACCCAGCGGGTTTTCATGGCAGAATGAGACTCGAACCTGGCTCTCTCAAATCCTAATGTCACACTAACCACTGTTCCATGAGGTAGAAAATCTTTGGAATAAAACTAGCCCATGGTCACCCAGTGAAGTTTCTTGGCGAGTGCGGATTTGAACTTGGGTTTCCCAGGGCTGCTGTCAGGATAAAATGGAAAAGGGGAATGTCTTGGAAAAGCTAAGGCTGATATAAATATGTATTAAATATGATGTGCAGCCAACGCAATGAACACCTTATCTTTGCTCATGATTAGCTCCTGCATGTTGTGTTTTGATGCCAGAGATATTTTCCAGCAATAACAGGAATGTGCAGATGAGCCAGAGCTACATTTATGGTTGGGATGGGCTGGGGGGGGGGGAGCTGACAAGGGAGGAGTTGCTTCGGTCCCTCAGTATTTTCCTATCCGTGTAGAAGGTTTCCATCATGGGTCAGAGAGAACCTTTCCCACACTGCCTTCATACCTGTTTTGTGGGTTTTTTTACAAAATTTATACTCTGCTTTTCTGCCCTCATAAGGTCCACCAAGATGGCTAACAAATTAAAAAAATATACCAAAATCATATCTTTAAAAACCATTAATCACAACAGAAAATACATAATTAAAACAATTAAAACCAGAGTTAAAATACATACAGAAAAATAAAAACAATGTGGCTCAGTGGTAGAGCATCTGCTTTGCACGCAGAAGGTCCCAGGTTCAATCCCCGGCATCTCCAGTGAAAAAGGACTGGGCAGTAGGTGCTGTGAAAGACCTCTGCTTGGAACCCTGGAGAGCCGCTGCCAGTCTGAGTAGACAATATTAACCTTGATGGACCAAGGGTCTGATTCAGTACAAGGCAGCAGCATTGGGCATAAAGGAGGGATTGCTGAGGAAACACCCAATGAAACAAAAATAAGTCATCACCCAGTGGTGGAAAATGGTAACAGAAGGGGATAGAGGAGTCTTCCTGTGGAGAGAGCTCCAAAGTTTTGATGCTGTGACCATGAAGGCCCTTTCTCAAGTTGCCACCTGCCTATTCTCAGAAGGCAGAAGTATCCAAAGCAGAGAGAGCCTCTAAAGATGACTGCAGTGATTGCTTAGGTTCATAAGGGAGTAGGCAGTCCTTCAGGTACGTTGGTCTTAAACCATATAGGATTCAAACTGTACTGTGTTTTTGCACTGGGATACTATTTCACTGTTTATAGGTACACGATGAACTTAAATAATATAGTTTCACAGATTTCTTTATGTATAATTTGTGTCCTGTGCTGCATTTTGACTTCTGGTATGGGAGATTACTCTGCCTTCTTCCTGCTTATGACGTTGACAACCCTGTCAAGAATAAGCCCTCTTTCCCATTGATTTTTATAGGAATTATTTAAAATATATAGCTAAATATCTCCTACTGAAATCATTTTGACTATAGAATTAGCCTAGGTTGGCCTGTGCCCACAGTTTACAAATCCCTGCTTGATAGAAGCAGATGACAAACAAATGCAGTATTTTAAAAGGAATAGCTTTCTTGTGCACTTTTGTTTTAGTACTTAAAACGTTGCATCTTTTTTCCATTTCAAGGTTGCAGGGATCGTTGGCCGAGCAGACCTGTTGTGCGCCCTGTTCTTTCTGTTGTCATTTCTTGGCTATTGCAGAGCACTGAAAGAGAGTAAGTGTGATTTCTGAATAGAGCTGTCTATTAGATCGTAGAAGTTAAAATGTTCCATAAAATATGGTGTTGGGCAAAAAGGGAACTTTGTGCCTCCAGGTTCTGGAATGTTCCTGGTTCTTCCCATCACATATAATTTTCTTTCTTTTGTCTCATGTCAGAGGTGGCCTTTCATTGGCAACTGGTGGTCCCCGGCCCAAGAGACATCCAGCTGTCCTCAACCAGGACCAGGGCCTTTTCTGCCATAGTCCCAACCTGGTAGAACTCTCTGCCAAGTTCCATCTGGGCCCTGCGGGACTTATTATGGTTCTGCAGGGCTTGTACGGCATGTTCTGCCAGGCATTTGCCTGCAGGCAGCAATGGTTCCATCTTGGCACTCCCACTTCCACTTTTTTCACTCTCCCGCCACAAGATAGCAGCATCATCAGGACTTGGACGCCATCTTGTTTTTTCTAGAATCTAAAGTTCTATTGTTTGCTATCATGGTTTTAATTGTTCCTTTGCTGGTTTTATATCACTGTAAACCACCCTGAGACCGGTTTCTGGGAAGGGCAGTCAAAAATCCAATAAATAATAAAATAATAATAATACCCCTGATTTTTTTTCCCCTGTGACTTGACCACTCCTTTTCTAGGTGGAAGAATCATGGAAGTTTCCTGTTCTCCACTACTGTTCTTGCTGGATGTGTTTACCCCACTGCTCTTGCTGGCTCGATTTCCCTTCTCCTCCCCCCTCCTTATCCTCAGTTCTTCTTCTTTGTGATGTTGTTGGCCAACTCCACATCCTCAGTGTTGGGCACCATTTTGATTTTCTGCACCCAAAATGCCACCTGAACTCCATTTCCCCCCAAATGTCAGGCATCACTCTTAATGTTCTTTGGCAGAGGAGGGGAGGTTTTCCCATCTGAATTATTTTTGACAAATTGGATTTCCCTGAAAAGCTGGAGGTTCCCAGGGTTGTGTGAATGTAACTTGGATTGGATTTTAAGCCTCTTCGGGAACCTGTGTTTAGGTGTAATGCAAATTTAAAAGATCACAAATATTTGCAGCATTGTGTGTGCATTAGGGCTCGCATCCTACTACACAGAAGTTTTCTGTATTTATCTATGTGTAAAGTAGTCCTAAGAGATTAAAAAAATCTGGGTTAGAAGAAATTGATAGCAATTTGCTGAAAAGCCACATGAGAGCTAATAAATAATAGACTGGAAGGAGCTGCCTAAATCTTGTACTGTTCAGTATTTATCCCCTCTGTTTAACCCAGTTCTTAAGAGGCACTAAAGAGGGTTTAGGTTTGGTATCCTACAAACAATTTCAGCTGCGTAGGATGATAACAAATTTCTTTTGAAATGTTTCGTCTGACATCCCTGTTTTTATACTGTTGCCATTTATTTCTCTTGCCTCATTACAAATAAATATGGGCTTGCCAGAGCTGATGTCCTTTTTTCATTTCATTAATTTAGGCAAGCTCCCACTTGTAAAAGGAGATCTTAATGCCTTTCAATCATCTTGGCATCCTTTTAGAGTGTGTGTTTTATACAAGCCTTGATTATGTTGTGTTACTCAAATCAATGCAAATTGGGGGGGGGGCGCTAACAAGCAAAATATCCCCTGCACATGGTGTCTTCTACATGTGTGGGTTCCATGTCAGTGGGGTAATCAGGGCTTTTTTTGTAGAAAAAGCCCAGCAGGAACTAATTAGCATAATAGGCCACACCCAACAGCTGAAACTCATTAGCATATTAGTCCACACCCTGACACCACAGCTCATTAGCATACTAGGCCGCAGTCCCGTGTTGCCAGAAGCATGGTCATCCAGCCACACCCACCTTTTGCTTCTTATTCTGTTTACCTTGTTTGTTGTCAAAACCCAGGGCCGTTTTTTGTAGCAGGGACTCCTTTGCATGTTAGGCCACACACGCCTACTGTAGCCAATCCTAATGAGTTTCTGCTGTTGGATGTGGCCTATTATGCTAATGAGTTCCTGCTGGGTGTGGCCAACTCGGGAGCCAGCCGGAACTCCATTCCTGTGCGTTCCTGCCCAAAAATAGCCCTGGGGGTAATTATTTTTGAGTCAGGCAGTCTGGTGTATAACTGGGTCCCAGTTTGGCCTAGTACTCTGATTAGGAAGGAAAAATGAGACAGAGAGACAAGGCTAGGAAGTTAAAATGCATTGGAAAGCAAAAAAAATGGACCAGTATTGCAATACAGTAACACAACGCTCTCTTGGATGTTGCCTGATTGGAGTGAATAGGGACTCTAAGGGGAAGTAAAGGGTGGAAAGAAAAATGTGCGTTACCTTGAACCCAGACTTGAACCCATACACGACACATGAAGCTACCTTATACTGAATCAGACCATTGGTCCATCGAGTTCAGTATTGTCTACTCAGACTGGCAGTAGCTCTCCAAGGGCTCAGGCAGAGGTCTTTCATATCACCTGCTGCCAGATCCTTTAACTGGAGATGCTGGGGGTTGAACCTGGGTTTCCCTTGGTTCAGGACTGAATTGCCATCTTAGGCTGGATGAGGAGCAGGGCTGTTTTTTCTGGGGGAATGCACCGGAACGGAGTTCCAGAACCTCTTCGACAAAATTCTTTTAAAAATGTTTAAAAGTTCATGAGTTTTCAGTATATAGATTGAAAACTTCATTTCCCTAGTATATAGATGGAAAACTTCATTTCCCTCTTGAAAGTTCTGGCACCTCTTTTTCCAGAAAAAAAGCCCTGGCTGAGGAGGAGAGTACTACAGCCTTACGTTATTAGTCAGAAAACTTGAGTCAGTCAGTCTAAGCTTTAACTGATTCTGGGGGCCGAATCAGTGTGCTCTTTGGAGCATTTCTGTGGATTGACCGCTTTCCTGTGAGAGCATCTAGGGAAATTCCTGCTACTTCAGGATCCCCTTCCCCTGTTTTCATACCAAACGGGATTATTTTATCCAGACTTCTGGCAATGAAGTCAGAGAGTCTTTTCTGGTGTGCATCCCCTTTAATCAAGCAACAGTTTTTAAACAGTATCTGTTAGATTCTTAAATACAAGAATTTATAAAGTATAGGTAGTAGGAATGTCATAGAAGGGCAGCCGTTCCTTTTCTCACTTAGATGTCTAAAATAGCTATTCTAAGATGGCAGTTGCTGTGCTCTGTGTTCGCATCATCCTAAAAACAAGGAAATTCTACTTTTTTCCTGAAATATTATTATAGTCTCATACGGATTTATAAAGATTCATTGAATTAATTTATTGATGAAAGCTCATACATAAATTGCTTCTGATGTCTTTAATCAGGAGAAAAACCTAGTGTATGTATTAAACTTGACAGTACTATGGGCACTGTTTCCAAGTCAAAGTCAACCTAATTACTAAATTGATACAGTAAACCAGGTTACATGGAACTGACATAGTAAGAAAGATTCGCATCTGAACGTTCAGCCAAACCGGCAGTTCTAATAGATCTCTGTCCCAAGACGGCTTCACTGGAGCATGAGCTGTATGACCTCACAATGTGGAGTTTAATCTACTTCTGTAAACTAAATTCTCTTATGTAAAATGACAGAAACACTTGTGGGCATTTAGCCTTTGGAACAGGAATAAAAATGCTTGCTACAAGTCTTTGGCATACATTAAACTTGTGACCATCTGGTGAGGGTGGCAGAAAGTCTTCCCACAATATGGTGTACCACTTTAAACTAGATTCAGGTGCCAACCAGAAGCGTGTTCCATCCTCTGTCAAGAGATCGTGGTGGGAAGTGGCGTAGACACAGGGAGTGTGCTTCGTTAAACTGATTAACACACTTGGCATGTGTATAATTTTTTTAGTAATTGGCACCTGTTTGTTGCTTTACGTTTTCAGAGTCAATTGACAGGGATTCAAAAGCTAAATTGATTATTTGACATTGCCAGAATGTGTATTCAGTTTCTGTAACTTCACGAGATACCTTGGGGGGGGGGGAACTGAATAATGTTTGTGATCAGAGCTTTTTAAAGAAAAAAATATGGAAAGCCTCTCTTATCAAATCTTGACCACTTAAGCAAAACAAGCTTCTTCAGTGTCCCAGTTTTGCATTGGTTTATGATGCACTTCAGAATAAAAAGGAAAATTTTCTGAGAGACTCTTAATTCCAAAGGAGAAGAAATGCTGTTAGCTTTTGTGGTAGTAGAAAAGAGCAAGAATCCAGTAGCACCTTAAAAAAATAACAACATTTCTGGCAGGGTATGAGTTTCATGAGTCACTGCTCACTTCTTCAGATACCTTCAGATAGTTCTTGTGGTTTCGTTCTCTTAACGTGCTTCTGTTTTTGATTGGGCTGAAGGGATTTTGACGAGGAGCTGGGCTATAGGGATCAGCACCCCCATTTCAGATCCCCCCCCCCCGGTCTGCTTGATTTGGAAACCGTCATTGTAGTGAGTTCCTCCTGAATCTGCTGGCAAACACTGTTGAGGTAGATTGCAGATATCATGAAAATCACAGCTCTGAAAAATCAAGGTAGACACACAAAAAGGAGGATTTGATTTATTTGTTTGTGTGTACGTGTGTGTGTGTGTGCACAAGCCAAAGCAGTAGTAACTTGGACCATTTAAAAATGCCACAAAGAGCACAGTGCCACGAGGAGTGCATACCTACAGAAGGCTGTTTTTCGCACTTGAAAAGGTGAAATTAGTAGCATTTGGAAGACCATGGATGGAATTCGGGCTATTAAGGGGGTGATGGGGAAGAACATAACAAATAAATTAATAGGATTGTGAAAAGAGAGAATCCCGAATTGGCACTGGTAAACACTCTGTTTTACTTGCAGCGCTTTAGTTCATAAAGCTCACATTGAATGCTCCGGCAGAGCGGTGTGTGAAATATTGTAATTACTTAAACTTGTTCTGAACTCCTAAGCATTGTAGAACTCTGTAATTTACTAACAGAACTGGTTGTGGATCAATATTAGACAGTAACTTACTTAATGGAATGAAAATGCTGACACAAATCTCTCTTAATTGCAGATTTCAAGCCAGAAAAACAGCACACTTCCTTCCCTGTAAACACTCCACCAGCAATTAGCAAAAAGAACACCCTTATATTAAGATTTGTTATTTGTTCCAATGCATTCCATCTCAAACTCGAGTTTGTTCTGTGTATACCTTCATGTGCTGTTGGTTAATTCTCTGTGTGTGCTTTTTTTTTTTTTTTTTGCACTGGTAGGTAAAGAAGGAACCCCTTTTTCCATAGCCTGGATCTTGCTGAGCATTCTCCTAGGTGCTGTGGCCATGCTGTGCAAAGAACAAGGAATCACGATACTGGTAACAGTTCAAATGAGTGACTATTTCAGATCTGCTAACTTCATGCAAAATTAACAGTCCTCTTTCTGATTTTATTTATATGTGCCCCCCCCTGCCCAAACTGGTTCGGAGATTTGGGCTGCGGTGTCACCAGTACGCTGATGACACCCAACTTTATCTGTTGATGGGCGGTCGGCTGGATACCACCCCTGGAAGTCTGGTTGAGGGGTTGGAGGCTGTGGTGGGATGTTTGAAACAGAGCTGGGTGAAACTGAATCCTTCTAAGATGGAGGTTCTGTGGCTGGGGTGGGGAGATTCCGGTCTGGGGTGCCACCTCCAAGCCCTTGAGACCGGCACCAACTGTCAAGAGCCTGGGTGTGATCTGGATGCCTCCCTAACAGTGGAGGCCCAGGTCACTAATGTTGCCCCCTACCTGATCTAACCACAATAATCCATGCAATGATCACCTCCAGACTGGACTACTGTAACTCACTCTCTGTGGGCCTACCTTTGAAGCTGACCCGGAAACTCCAACTGGTACAGAATGCAGCTGCGCAGGTCCTCATGGGGATTCCACATGCAGCACATCCACCCTGTGCTGCCTGAGCTGCAGTGGCTTCCAGTGGAGTACTGGATCAAGTTCAAAGTTCTGGCGTTGACCTTAAGGCCCTTAACAGTCTGGGACCCACGTATCTTTGGGACCTCCTCTCCTGGTATACCCCCAGGAGAGCACTGCGCTCAGTAGATCAAAATCTGCTGGTGATCCCCGACCCAAGAGATATCTGGTTGTCCTAAACTAGAGCCAGGGTGTTTCTGCCCTGGCTCCAACCTGGTGGATTCTCTGCCAAATAATATCTGTGTCCTGTGGGACCTGATACAGTTCCCCAGGGCCTTGTAAGGCAGAGATGTTCCACCAGGCATTTGGTTGAGGACACTGACGGCTCCGTCTTTCTGGCACTCCCACCCTTGCCTTCCCATGAGGCCAGTGGCACCATCAGGAAAAATTTTAACACCATATTTTGGTTACTGCTGTGTTTGATGGGTTTTAATTCGTTTTTAATGATGTTTATATGATATTACGTTGTATACCGCCCTAAGCCCAGTTTTTCCAGTGGAGGGTGGTTTATAACAACAACAACAACAACAAAGGAGATCTCTTGATCTCATAAGGTGCATATTTTCTGTAGCTTTACTTGTAGCGTGTTCAGGTTTCTCTACGGAAATGGTGATAAACTTTCCCAAATTAAGCACAAAATTCCTAGCAAGCTTCCTGGTATTTTTTTTAAGGCCCCTGTTTTTTAAACCATTTGAATCAGTCAAAGAATCCGGCTTCAAAAAGAGTACTAATGCTGATTTCATTGCGTGGCTTGTCGGCAGCTTTACTGGGGAATGACTAAGATTATAACCATACAATCTGTCAGCAAATCTGCAAAGGCTGTTTGAATGGCACTTCATCATAAATTAGGCCAAGGCTTGTAGGTTCATCCACACAGCATTCATTCCAAAACCCCTCCCCCTCTCTGTCACTCACCAATCACACAACTTGCCTGAGTCCAGCATCCTAGTCTGCCATACATTCATACAAACCACTTTTAAAGACACACACACAATAAAACATGGAATCGTTACAGCTTGTATAAGCAGTTACTGTTTTTCTTGTATTCTTCCTTTGGGGATTTAATTACTTATGTCTGTTAACATGGGTTGTAGTTCAGCCCAGTTTCAACAAAGGAAGAATATGCCCATATGTTACACTGAATACCAGCGAATAGCTCTTCTCACCCCTGGAACATGTACAAATAAGTGTGATGGGTGGTTTGATAAGCAGGTAGATTTTACAGGTCTTTTGAAAGGCTAGTAAAGAGGGGTCCCGGTGCACCATTTGATTGACAGATCTAAGGCACCCATAGTCTATAATTAGCTTTCTTATTGGCTGTCTACGGGCTACATGGAAGTCACTCATGTGAACCCATGAAACTGCCTTCTACTGAATCAGACCATCAGTCCATCAAGGTCAGTATTGTCTACTCAGACTGGCAGCAGCTCTCTAGGGTCCCAGGCAGAAGTATTTCACATCTTCTACTGCCTGGTCCTTTTTAACTGGCAATGGCGGGGATTGAACTTGGGTCTTTCTGCATGCCGAGCACATACTCTACCACTGAGCTGTAGCCCCTCCCTGATTGCAGGATTACCTCCTAATTGATACAGAACCAAAAGTCAGTCTTAATATAGACTGTTGTCTCTCTTTAATCCTCTCTTTGTAGGGTTTAAATGCTCTCTTTGATGCTGTGGTGATAAATAAGCTCAACATTTTGGAAGTTGTACTGAAGATTCTACGTAAGGATAAGTCACTGGAGGTGATTTTGTTTAACTTTTGATTTAAAAGGAATGCCTTATTCATTTGTGTTCTCTCTTAATGGTTAATGTGTAAATGTTGGTATCGGTATCATAACACTCTGGAACGTCTTTCCAGCAGCATAGAAGTGACAGTCTTTAAGGCTGAAGAGCATTTTCCAGAAAACATATTTCTGATCTAAGCCCAGCATGATTCAACCGGACAAGCGTTTTGGCTGATAGACTACAAATGTGAAATGGAGCATTGCTTTTCCTTTTCTGTTCCTTCACAAACTGGCTCCCAGAGTGGCTTATGTGAATGAAAGCTGCAAATCCAGAAAGGTATCTCCAGAGAAGGATCTCAAGGGTGCTGGATTCAGGTGTGATAGGAGATGGCTCTTGGCTGGAGCAAGACGATTGGCTCCCTCTCATCCTCCCTCTGGCTTCCTCGGTGGCCATCATATGGGTGACTCTTACCAAAACTAGTTAGGAGCCCTTGCATTAGTTAATCAAATGGCTTAGAAGGCCTTCTTTCAAAATAACATAATTACATCTGTCCCAATCTGCCTTTCCAACAGCGCAGCATTAATACCTCTCCATTCTAAAAATTATGTGCAATTGAAATAGTTCTGGGGCGAATGCAATGACTGCGTGTTGGATCTTTCCATGCTCTGCCTTTGAAATGAATAGATAGAGCAGGCTGGTTTTCAGCCATGACATTTAGATCTGTGGCCTGCTTTTGTGATTTTATAGTGCTAATTCATGGCTGCCTGAACTATTCTACACCTCCTGTGCTAGTTGACTTCCTTTCTTCCAGTCACCTGTTGTTTCTTTGGGTCCCTGTCCTTCATGACACTGTATTCGACTTTCTTCAGCCACCAGGCCACCCTCCCTTCAGGACTACTCATTCTCTCCTCCCTTATTCAGTCAGGAATATATAGCTCTCCTGTTGACCCTGTATTGATTTTTCTCTTATGTTTGTTATCACTAGCGCGCACACACACTCTGTTTCTCTGTCTTCTTTGCTCTTCACTTTGCTTAGGCCACTGCATATTTCTCTTAGTCCCCTTGCTTCTGGGACTCACACCCTCTGGGACACCTCCTCTCCATTCAGATTTCCACACCCAAGCTCTTTCTGTCTGTCAGCATGTTAATTATATTGTGAATTGCCGTGAGAGCCAGTTTGCTGTAGTTGGGTCAATAGGGGTACTCAGGCTTGGCTCCCAAGGTGAATCTCTGCTGACAGAAGGGATTTCCTTCATGAAAGCAACACTCTGTCACACATACCCCAATGTTCCCTCAAAGCTGAATTAGTGTGAGCTAGCTCATATTTTTTTTAGACTCGGGCTCATACTTTTTTTTTCTTAGGTCAGGAAGGTCCAGAGCAGACTAATTTATGCTGCAGCCACTCACAACTTTAATGCCAGTAGCTCACAAAGTAGAATTTTTGCTCACAAGACTCCCCTCCCACTGCAGCCTCAAAATTATCCTTGAAATGGTGCTCCTGGGAGGCCTGCAGGAGCAATATGCTTGAAATGGTGCTCCTGGGAGGCCCACAGGAGCAATATGCTGGTGGGGGGGGGAGTTAAAGTTCTGCAGGAGGAAGAGGGAATCAATGAAAATTTAAAAAAAACACCCTCATTCTGTTAGTGGGACTTTTCTGTGAGATGCAGCCCGTAGTCTGAAAGAGCTCAAATTAATTTACCAAAAAGTCCAAAATAGAATATCAGTTTTAATTTCATGTCTAACAAAAATTTGAAATGTTATTGCTTTAGACTTGTTGGCTGTCTCTATTATTGGGTGCACATCAGTTTTTAAAAATGCAGATCACTATTAGATCTCTTTTCCATTACATAACAGTTGTAAAAATTTTACAGCATGTCCATTATCTCTTATAGCATGCTGGCTATCAAATACAGTAAAACCCTAACTGCTAAATATAAAACGCTGCTGCGAAGATTGCAGATATCTTCGTGGTGAAGCATTCACGATGTTATAACTTAAAGATGGTTAAAACTGTGAGATTAGCAATGTGTCCAAGTTGCTCAATAAAATACCCAAACAATTGTTTCAGACTCTTTTTTGATGCTTGTTTTTAGCTCCTGACTGTCGTACACCTGACCAAAATGCTAATAAAACTATCCATCCTAAGTTGACTTCTGCTATTTTACCCTTTACAACCATTCCTAAGCTGATTACTTGCCAGTAAATCACAGTGATTTCACCAGGACTTGACGTTCAAATATGCATTCTATTAGGTATCATGGAGGCAGGCCACACAGAAGTTACACAACCGACAGCTAACTTTCTTGTAGCCATAAAGATATAACAGGAGCATACTTCAAACTATCCTTGATATGAGGCTGAATTCCACCACTTCCCAGTATGGCATGCCAGGAGGGCCAATATGCTACACATAGGGACTGATTGGCCACTAAGGCCATCAGGAAAAGTTCCAGTGGGCCAATAGCTAGGGCTGCCCTACCTGAGGCAGGTACAAGGTAGATGGTAGCAACTGTCAGCCACTGGCACCCAGCTCACATGAGGCAGGTGCCCCACTGCAAGCCAGTGAGCCCCACCTCGTGAGAACCTGTGCACCTCCCACAAGATGGGTGGGTGTGTAGCAGACTGAAGCCACAAGCAGCCCACTCCTTCCCTGAGAGAGCCAGTTTGGTGTAGTGGTTAAGTGCATGGACTCTAATCTGGGAGAACCTGGTTTGATTCCCCACTCCTCCACTTGCAGCTGCTGGATGACCTTGGGCAAGCCATAGTTCTGTCAGCGCTGTTCTCTCAAGGACAGTTCTCGAGAGAGAGCTCTCAGCCCCATCTACCTCACCGGGTATCTGGTGGGAGGAGGGGAAGGGAAAGGAGTTTGTAAGCCACTCTGAGACTCCTTTGGGTAGTGAAGGGTGGGGTATAAATACAATATCTTCTTCTTCTCCTCCTCTCCCCTCTCCTCCAGGATTAATGGGTGCTTCGTGAGCACCATGCAGGTCATACCAGGTTTGATACAGAGTGTGTTGTCAGTTCCTTAAATGGCAGCTGTGATTTTTCTGAACATTTTGCTAGTGCATTAAGAGGCAGCTACCAATTTTTTTCCTGCCCTTAAAAGCATGTGAACCCTCCGGGCCAGAAGAGAGAACCTGGAGGAGAGGTCTCTTGGTCTTCTACTACCTCACTCCATCTTACCTTTGGGGTTTCTGCCCTGCATGGAGTTTTACCAAGAACCAAAGGGAATAGGTGTTTAAAACTTTTATTTTTAACCCCCTCAGATCTGGGAGCCTTGACATTTCCCCCCTGGGAATGGGTCCAAGACTGAGCGTCCTGGCACAACCTGACCTTGGGGGTGGGGCCTGTCTGTGATATCAGAGTCTTGAGACCAAACACTAGTACTTTGATAGATTTTTCCAGCAGTTTTACAGATTTTCCAGGACCTTTTAAAACCCAACCACAAATTAGGGATGCAGGCTCAAAGGTTTGCTCCAACCCTGCTCCTTTTCAATCACTTCAAAAGTCTGGATAACAGAGATTAAGGTACCAGGGGAGGAAAACAGTAATGATGCATCATAGCACTTGACAGCTTGGCCAAAAATGACAAATTGCAGTTGAAATTTCATTTCCTTTGGTTACCTCACAGATCACCACACACCCTTTCTGCAATGTAACTTTAGGATTTAATTTCCCCATCCCAGAAAATAAGGCTCCCTTATTCGTTTGTCTTTTCAAAACAAGCCGTATCGTGCTTTCTCCTGCTTTTGTTTTCTCTTCATCCTTTTCTGAGAGGAAAAAGAAGTAAATATCTGGCATACCTTCTCCCCTCTATCTAGAGCCTGGTGGTGTTTCGAAAAGGACTCCTCTCCAGGACAACTATGCTGCTGTGTGGAGGAGCCGCCATGCTGTATGTACGCTGGCGCATTATGGGCACAGGGCCACCTGCTTTTACTGAAGTAGATAACCCAGCCTCGTTTGCAGATAGTCTGTTTGTGAGGGTAAGTTGTAAGCTTACTGCTTTTCTGTGAGGTGGAAAACATGACTTTTTAGAAGGAATAGAAACATGCCTGTAAAACAGGTGCTTTGTATGCAGACGGGCCAAAGGCCAGGCTTGGGTAGAAGGGCTAGCAAAGCATTTCAGTCAATTAGAATAGACGATACTGAGCTGCAGGACGAGTGGTAAGATGTTAGGCGGCTTCACGTGTGAAATATAGGTTTACTCAGGGATCATTTCGTAGAAAAAGCTAGGGGGACTCATTAGCATAACTCATTAGCATATGCCACACCCCCTGACATCACTGGAAGTGTGTCCTCCCCACAGCCGGCGGCGACCTCCAGCGGGCACCAGCAGGGAGCTCCAGGCCCCGCCCTCCCGCACCTCACCCGGGGGGATGGCGTCCCCCCGCGTCCCCCCCCCAAATGACCCCTCAGAGCCCTCAAATAGCCCAGACTAGCCTGAGCTCATCAGAGCTTGGAAGCGAAGCAAAAAGAGTCAGTCCTAGTTAGTACTTGGATGGAAGACCAGTAAGGAAGATCAGGGCCACTATGCAGAGGAACGCAAATCACCTCTGCTCATCTCTTGCCCTGAAAACTCCTTGAGGGGTCATCATAAATTGGTTGTGACTTGATGTCACTATTATTTATTATTAATAGTAATAGTAGTAGTAGTATTTAGAGCCCTCAAAGAACTACCCCTTTATTAGCTTAAGTTTTAAAGCTTGTAATGATTACTCTGAAAGGTGTGGCTCAGTTGGGCGGGGTTGCTCAGGAAATGGGGGATGTGTTATAGTCAGTCTGGTGTATACTTGGGTTATAATCCAGTGAGTTTCCACACTTGGCTGCAGAATGGCTTGTGTTCACCATTCTTTGTAGCCAGCAAAGGGATCTGGCACTGTGTGCACTTTTTTAGGTCAAAGCCTGAGACTAAAAGGGGGAAGGGGAGTGTCCTGGCTGCACAGAACAGTATAGTCATTGATACAAAAGGTTCATGAAAGATCTAGAACTTTCAGGACATTCAGGCTCTGATCACTGGTAAACATCATTCACATTGATCCTGAGCAGTGTTTAGCCAAGTAGACATTTGGATGGCATCTAGATTATATGTAATAGGAACCAGCAACACTAGCATCTGCATGCACGCGCACACACATGGGTAACAACTTGTATTCAATTCAGCTCTAGAGCATTAAAGTTAAGGCATTTGATAAATGTCCTTTTTTAGCAAAGGCTTAAGTAAAACTCTGTGTGACTTGACAAAGTAGTTGGGAAATATGATTCTCTCTCCACCCCGCCCCTTTCCTGCTCAACACCCACTTGTGTTCAATATGAAGTAAATGTTTGTTTTTCTTGACTGACAGGCTATAAACTATAATTACTACTATTCCTTGAATGCATGGTTGCTACTGTGTCCCTGGTGGCTGTGTTTTGATTGGTCAATGGGCTGTGTGCCCCTTATTAAATCAGTCACTGACTGGAGAATAATTGCACTAGCAGTCCTTTGGTTCTGCCTAATTGCCCTGATGGGCCAAGCCTTGCGCTCTGAAGACAGCCAGAAGAGAAGGTAAGAGACATTGTTGAATTTCAAATTTCTCCCTGGGTTACATGCATTATTTTCTTAAGCTTGGCATCATTCCGTTTGTTCGGTGTTGGGTTTGGGGGGGTTGGGTTTTTTTCTTTTTTAACAAATCAGTGGAATCAATACCTTAGCAAGTGTGGTACAAATAAATATTTATAACTGTGACTTCATTCTCTTCCCAATTTGGTTCCATCATTTTTTACACTGACTCCGGGGGAGACAAAACTTGTAAAAAGGAAGGTATGGGTGGCTGCTTTATCTTCTTGGATTGGCATTTTGAGATCCTTAACTCTGTGGGGGGTAAAAAGTAATTTGTGGTCAGAATGAAGTGTAATTGATGTATGTTGTTTTCCTTCACCTCTTTTTGCCCCCCCCAACAATGTTTCTTTTGTAAAAAATAATAATAAAAGAACTTAAGAAAGAACTTGTGGGGGGGAAATGTAGTGATTCTGGCTGCTGATTAAAAAAATAAAGTGCTTGCCCTTGACTGATTATTCTTTATCAAGAGATAGACACAGAGAAAATAATGGAGGGGGGAAAACCTGTTATTTTTCAGAAATTAAAGTTGCTGTAAGAATGCTGTGAGTGGTAAAACTGTACCTTCTGAGAATACATGACAGATGTCTTTCTGGTGTCGTTGACTAGATTATATAATATGTGAATCAAAGGATTACTTGTTTTTTGCTGTTTTAAATTGCAGATTTTTCAGACTGGAAAAGGAAAAAGTGCTGCCTGCACATTTAATCCATTTTGTTCTTTCCCATTTATAAAGTTTTTGATCCCACAGTGCTTTTTAAGTGTTCAAGCATCTCACATGCATTATTTTAGTAATCTCACAATAGTGCGCTAGGTAGGATTACCCTGTATCGCTGCAGGGAGGGAGACCGGTGAGCCCCCTAGGAACAGTATGGGACAGAAACAAAGCGGGAGTTTACAGTCTAAGCTTTCCTTAGGCCACCTAGTGATTTCACAGTCAAGGTGTCATTTGAATTCCAGACTTCTTAGGTCACACATTAACCGTTTCGCTATACCGGTTCCCATCTCCTTGTCCTGAGGTGCTCTTCTGTTGCCAAAACGGCAGGTCTTCCAAAGGTTTAACATTTGTGTTTGTGGAGGAGGGGAGGCAAGACATTTCTCATTTCCCTTTCTCTGTTACTGCAGACTGAACTCTCCCCCCACACAAAGACTCCCTGTTCCTGCGAGTTCACTGATCCGCAGGAACACAGTTTCAGGGGGCACAGAATTAGGAGGAGAGAGGTAGGAAGCTACCTGAAAGGAGACCTGTATTCACTGTACATTTAGGATAGTTAATCTTGTGTCCCTGTTTAGTTTTGTGGAGATAGGCCACAAGGAGTTAAGATTCAGACTATGTTTTCTGTTAACAGAAGGGAGAAAGTGCAGATATACTGCATGAGCTGGAATTTCAGGCTACAAGGACACACTTTCTGCCCAGGGATATTTCCCATTGTACACACCAAAGGTTGACAGAGAGTGAGTGTAGGTGGGCAATTTTCTCAGTGGAGGGTGGTAAGCAGTGGGGTACCGCAGGGATCAGTACTTGGTCCACTGCTTTTTAACTTGTTCATTAATGATTTGGAGATGGGAGTAAGCAGTGAAGTGGCTAAATTTGCGGATGATACAAAGTTGTTCAGGGTGGTGAAAACCAGTGAGGATTGTGAGGCACTCCAAGGGGATCTGTCAAGGATGGGCGAGTGGGCGTCAACATGGCAAATGGGGTTCAATGTGGCCAAGTGCAAGGTGATGCACATTGGAGCCAAAAATCCTAAATATAAATACACATTGATGGGGTCTGAACTGGCAGAGACTGAGCAAGAGAGAGATCTTGGAGTTGTAGTGGATAACTCACTGAAAATGTCGAGACAGTGTGTGACTGCAATAAAGAAGGCCAATGCTATGCTGGGGATTATTAGGAAGGGTATTGAAAACAGATCAGCCAATATAATAATGCCCCTATATAAATCAATGGTGAGACCTCATTTGGAATACTGTGTGCAGTTCTGGGCACCACACCTTAAAAAGGATATTATAGCTTTGGAAAAAGTGCAGAAAAGGGCAACTCGAATGATAAAAGGGTTGGAACACTTTCCCTATGAGGAAAGGTTAAAGCGCTTAGGGCTCTTTAGCTTGGAGAAAAGACGACTGAGGGGTGACATGATCGAGGTTTATAAGATTATGCATGGGAAAGAGCAGGTAAAGAAAGAGGTACTTTTCTCCCTTTCTCACAATACAAGAACTCGTGGGCACTCCATGAAACTGCAGAGCGGTCGGGTTAGAACGGATAAAAGGAAGTACTTCTTCACCCAAAGAGTGATTAACACATGGAATTCACTGCCACAGGAAGTGGTGGGTGCTACAAGCATGGACGGCTTCAAAAGGGAATTAGATAAGCATATGGAGCAGAGGTCCATCAGTGGCTATTAGCCACAAGGTATAGCTAGGGGCTCTGGGGCAAGTGATGCTCTGTCTTCTTGGTGCTTGGGGGGGGTCAACAGTGGGAGGGCTTCTAATGTCCTGGCCCCACTGCTGGACCTCCTGATGGCACTGGTATTTCTGGCCACTGTGTGACACAGAGTGTTGGACTGGATGGGCCTTTGGCCTGATCCAACATTGGCGTCTCTTATGTTCTTATGTTCTTATGTTCTTATGACTCCAAGGAACCATTATAAGGGCTCCACTGGAAGAACGTTTTTGTTTGTTTTTTTAACCTCCTGCAGCAGTCCACTCAGCTCCCAAAAACATTGTTCCTGCACGATGGAGAATTTTCATGGACAGTCTTGTGTGCGGGGCAAAGTCGGAGTCTGCAGTGGGATGGTATTATGAACTGAGATCGAGGCAGCTCTTAAACATGTGATTGCATTTTATTCAGCTCAGAACAACACTAGACAAACATACATAGAACAAGGCTGACTTATATATGATTTGAACGGGCAAAACCACACCCCACAAACAGATAACAACCAATCGAAATACGGAGCTTGGAACCAATGAGATTGGTTCCCGCCGAAGTCAAAGGCTTCTCTGGTTGGCCTATTTGTCAATTCATGTAATGCTAAGTTCTAATGGAACTGTGCTGAAGCTAAATCAGTGCTTTATCGACTTAATACATAACAGATGGGAAAATTGCAAAATTGCCCCTTCCACCCTTTTCCACTGGCAAAAGTGTTTTGTGCTAGGAGAAAAGTGACCTTTTGATTCAACGCCAAGTATTTGCCTTCCCATGGAAGAGTCAAGTAACGAATAAATATACAGTGCAAGAAACTTTTGTAAATTAATGTGTTCTGTTTGGCTTTTAGAATACTGATGCAAAATTGACTGGTAGTTGTTATATTGTATGAACTGTATGTTATTGTTATATTGAATGTACTGAATATACATACCTGATTAGGATAAGAATACACTTTATAGAATGTTAATTATAAACAGAACACATTAATTTACAAAAGTTTCTTGCAGTGTATATTTATTCGTAACTTGACTTCCCTAACACTGCAGCTCGGGTTGCCACAGCTGCTTTTTCCCATAGAAGAGTAGAGGAAAACCATGCGTGCTCAGGGCACCAGTTTCTGGTGGCTCGCCATTGTTAGTCTGCAGTAGAAGAGCCAGGTTCGAGTTCAGCAGCACCTTAAAGGCCAACAAGATTTCCAGAGTAAAACGCTTCCAAGAGTCAACGCTCACATTGTCAGATATCTAATGAAGGGAACTTTGACTCTCAAAAAGCTTATACCCTGGAAACCTTGTTGGTCTTTAAGGTGCTGCTGGACTCAACTCTTGCTCTCACAAATATAGCTGAAACCTATAGAATGAGTCAGCCATCATCATCATCATCATCAACACAACCTTTATTGGCATAGCTATAACATCGAAGGAGAACTAACAATACAATTTGCCAAGAAGCCAAGATAAAAGCAATATAAATACAAATACTGTAGTGCTGAATGACAATAATAGTAGTAGCAGTGATAATAATAACAACAACAACAACAGTAAAAGGAGATATCCAAAACAACAACAACAACAAACAATTGCAGCAAGGAAGCTTAACCAACCGGGAAGGAAAGAGAAACGTTGTAAAACATGGTTAGACAATGTCTTCTTATCCTGTGGTGGTCAACAAGACTTAACACGTAACAGGTATACAGACATGCAGGGGTCATTTCGTAGGAAAAGAGCTAGGGGGACTCATTAGCATAACTCATTAGCATATGCCACACCCCCTGACATCACCGGAAGTGTGTCATAAGGCCACACACCCCGTCCCCAACGGTGCCGGCCATCGGTGCCGGCCTTGCAGCTCCACTGCCGAGCCCCATGAGGGGCCCAGCGGTGGACCTGCAAGGCCGGCGGGGGGGCAAAGAAGCCCCGCGAAGGCCCTCCCTGGCCCCAGGCAGGCAGGGGTGGGGAGAGGCAGGGAGGAAGCGACTTACCCTCCCTCTTCTCCTGCCTCCTCCTGGCTGAATGAGGGCCGGAAGCGGGGCGGCTGGAAGCAGGGGGCGGGGCTTCGTCATGTGCCCCCCCATACCTCACCCGGGGGAACTGTGTTCCCCCGCGTTCCCCCCCGAAATGACCTCTGCAGACATGGCATTTGTGTATTCTCTTTTGAATCTCTTAGGGTCTTTCCAACATTACCTTTCAGTTGCATGGTGAGCAGTGTTCCCTCTAAACTGAGTTAGTGTGAGCTCACAGTTTTTTAGCCTCTGGCTCACACATTTTTGTCTTAGCTCAGGAAGGATGGCTCCAGAGCAAACTAATTTATGCAGTAGCCAAATCGCTCGCTGACAACTTTAGTGCCAGTCGCTCACGAAGTAGAATTTTTGCTCACAAGACTCCACAGCTTAGAGGGAGCATTGATGGTGGCCCCTTCCCAAATTACTTCGCAACGTTGAAAGTTCAGTGTCATGTGGATGGAGGCCATGCCTCCTTCCCCTAGGCACTTGAGCAAAACTGGCATAGAAGGGACTGCTGCATGAGCTCTTAGATATATGATGTTACTAAATGGTGCAAGAATTATTCATACTGCTGCGTCTCCTGTGCTGCTACAGGAAACATTTGAAAAAAATGCCCTTTGAAAATAGAAGAACAATTTATGGGAGTATCATAGAGATTTTGTTGTTAATCTTATAAATTTCCCCCCCTGATCTCTAGAATCCTCACGCTGGGATTGGGATTTCTCATTATCCCTTTTCTTCCCGCGAGCAACCTTTTCTTTCGAGTTGGGTTTGTCGTCGCGGAAAGAGTAACCTACCTCCCCAGCATTGGCTACTGCATGCTGATAACATATGGATTCAGTCTATTGAGCAAACAGGCGAAGAGAAAGGTACTAACGAAATAATCTATATCGTGGACAACTGGGAGGGATACACAAAAGGGCTTTAAAAGGGCAGTCTTTTAACGTGTGTCTCCTTTCTCCAAGAAATTACTTGTTGCTGCTCTGCTGGGCCTCTTGTTGATAAATGTATGGCGTTGTGTTATCCGCAGTAACCAGTGGCGATCTGAGGAGCAACTTTTTAGGAGCGCTTTGTCCGTGTGTCCGCTGAACGCCAAAGTAAGCTTTTTAAAACCTATCTAATGACAATATCCTGCCACTTCACTTCTGCATCACACTAGGAACTGGCTTTTCTTTTAAAACGTGTGACCGCTTTTGCCAGGTGTCCAGTCCTTCACTGCCCTCCTCTTGTTAATCCTCATAATAATCCTATGATATTGGTCCAAATTCGGTCCATTTTATGGAATGGGAAAATGTGGTTCATGGAAAGAATGTCTGAAGGCCCAGCAAGCTTATTTCATGGAAATGTTGTCCTGTGTATTGAACAGTGGCGGCATCTTAAGTGAAGTTAACACCCTTCTAAATCCATTGAAGTCAGTGGTCTAAGAAGAATGTTAATCTCTTCAGGATTGTACTGTTAGTATCTTAAGGCTGTGGGCCTCCATTTTCTTCTTTGATGCTCTGCCCCCCCAATTAAATATTATTTGTTTGTTTATTTATTGGATTTATACCCTGCCCTCCCCGCTGAAGCAGGCTCAGGGCGGCTTACATAAAAGTGTTAAAACAGTTTAAAAACACATAAAATCTAAAGTGCAATGCATACATACATTCCTATGTGATGGCAGTTCTAATTGTTCTAAACATGTCCCATGACAAGCAGAGGCATTTTGTCACCCCTTGTTTTGATTTTTGCTTTCTGTTCTTTGTGTTCTGGGGTGCTAGATGCAGTTGGTTTAGCATGGGATTGCTTCCCCTGACCACAGATTGCCAGGGAGTGTAAGATTATGGATCAGATTTAGTCAGCTACCTCACTGAATGTCACATAATTCCCCTCCTTACTACAGCCTCCGTCCCACGTGGCTTTGGTCCATGCAGGTCCCAACCCCCCCAGCATAACCTTTGGTGGGTCCCCCAGAGGACCCCCTCACCCCTTTGTCACCAGCAGAAAAACTGGTTGGAGCCAACCCTATAATGCTGTGAAAGCTATTTCATACCCTTCTTCCCATACATGCATGTTCGTAGCCTAAAAATGACAAGTCTCCATCAATTACAGGAGTTGTTTAGAATCAGTGGGTTGATTGCCAGCATAACTGTTTGCCATGCTGTATAAATTGCCTACCCTTTTAGGTCTTCTATCTGTGTATTGAGTGGTTTTTGAACTGGTTGCTTGAGTAACGTAAATATATTGCCATTTTAATTGTAGCCAACAAGCAGAGTGACTAGCTTAATCAACTACCAACAGAACTACAAAATCTTTATTGCTAGGTTAGGAAGAAGGGCGCCAAGCTGAATTTTACTGACCGGAGCAAATTTATGATGCAGACGCACCAATTAAAGCAGTCTCTTTGTTGCTAAAATGCCACAGGACACATTATCTGAATTTATAGCTCTGCTTTCAGGCCACATCATCAGGAAGGGCAGTAATGATATAACACCATCAATAGGCATGGCAGTTCAGCAGTTCACATTCTAAAGGTCCTAGACATAAATGAAACAACAGACTTTAAAAAAAATGCAAACTGTGGACTGGATCCAGGCAGCTTATTTGCTCAGTCACACCCAGTTCACCTCCTTCCTGGAGTCTCTGTCCCGTATGGCTTTGTGACCCTGCTGGCCTGATACCCAGTATAGCTTACTTTTATGTTGGCACTGAATGGAATGAAAGTAAATAAGAGGATTGCAGATCATTTAAGATCTTTACCTGTTTGTGCATGGATAATGTTTTTCAAATCAGGTCAATTCCTCCTTTTATGCATTATTGAAAGCAATTGCAGGATAGAAAATCATTAACAAGAGTGTGTTGTATTCTCGTATCAGAGCTGCATCAGTTTTCAAATGTGCTTGGCCATCCCCATCCTACTTTCATTAAAATTACTTGTAGAGGAAGATGGAACAGCCACATTATTAATTTCCTGGCCTCTTCTAGAACACAGCAAGCAGCAGGCTACTATTGAGAGTTAAGAACCTCAATATCCTCCATGACATCCAAACGGAACAGTACCAATCATATTCTAAAATGGCCTTCAGTAAAGCAGTCTTTGAAAGGTCACCAGTTCCCTCACAGAATTGCTTTTTGTAGGGTTCCTGATGTTGTTGTGGTAGGCTTGCCAAGTCCCCCCGGGGGGCGGGAAGACCCCCGCCCCAGAGGCCCGTTCCCCGCCACCGGTGGATCGGGCCCCGGGGGGAACTCCACCCCCACGTGCACGTCACCCAGAAGTGATGCGGGTACGCCGGGCACGCTGGGGGCGGGGCCACGGTCATCTGAGGGAAAAGTCTATGGTTTTCCCTCAGATGGTCCTGGCCCCGCCCCCAGCGTGCCCGGCGTACCCGCGTCACTTCCGGGTGACGTGGATGCGGCACGCGCGCGCGCGCCAGACGCCGGCCAGGAGTCCCCCGCTGCGGTAAGTTTCTGACTTGGCAACCCTATGTTGTGGTGACGTTAACAGTGTAATGTGCTGTGGCTTTCATATTTGTTATTGTTTTTAAGGACACAAGGGAGAACTAATCTTTGTGTGGATGACACATTGCCAGTTTTAACTGTAGATCTCCTGCTCTTTCTGACACAGCTATACATGTTGGTTTCACCCAATGGTTCCCTTCAACTGAAGGAAGGGATCTCTCTGTTGAAAGGACAGAAAGAATCCTTCTTCCAATGGAAGTCCCCCCATTTAGCAAAAGGAAACTGTTGGGATCCAACCCATAGGCTTTCACATGTGCTTCAATCTCCCCAGTTAGCCAGAACCAGACTATAATTGTAAGGCTTCAGAGCAACTCCAAATAAGGTTGCTGCAGGAACTGAAACTCAAGCTGGGTCCTCCTGATTTCATTGAAGCGATCTTATATTCTAATAGCAAAGTGAAGAAATCTTTGGATACTTAAATCCGGTGACTGGAACTGTGAAATCTAAACAAAATACATTAGGTGCTTTTAAAAAAATCAGAAATAAATAAAAGGCATGCCTGTAGCTTTAAGCAAGGGATTACCTCAGTGTCTGTTGATAGGTATCAACAGTATTCCAGGCTGGGTTTCAGTGAGTAAAAGGCAGGGGGAGGGGGCAGGGCTCTTTCCAGGTCTATTTTGGTTTTTGAGGGAGGACTCATTAGGGCCAGGGTTGCTTGCTCCAGCTTGGAGATTTTGTGGTGGAGTCAGAGGAGGGCAGGGTTTGAGGGAGGGGAGAGGCCTCAAATGGATATAATGCCATAGAGTCCACCCTCCAAAGCAGCCATTTTCTCCAGGGAGACAGATCTCTGTTGTCTGGAGTTCAATTGTAATTTTGGGAGCTCTCCAGGTCCCACTTGGAGGATGGCAGACGTAGGCCTGACAGCAACCTCTGAGTGACTTGATAACTCTTGACTTGCATGACTCAACTAGGCCTGGCTGCTTGTTACTGTTCAAGAGCAGCCACCCTATGAATGCCAATGTGGTATAGCAGTTAGAGCTTCAGAGTAGAGTCTCGGAGACCCAGGTTCAAATCCCTATCTTGCTGCAGAAGCTCACTGGGTGATTTTGGACCAGTCACATACTTTCAGCCTAATCTACCTCACAGGGCTGTTGTGTGGATAAAAAAGGAGGTGAGAAGAATAATGTATGCTGTTTTGGTCCCCACTGTAGAGAAAGACCGGATATAAATGAAGTAAATAAATAATAAATATAGCTGAAAATGGGGGGCAGATAAAATGTAGGTTGGTGAATGGCTGAGGAGGAGAGAATGGGACGGAACTGTAGCACCAAACAACTGGGCCACAGTTTTCCTAGGTAGAGGCTGCTGGAGGGGGGGGGGGGGTTAAGGAAAAGGGGGGGTTAGGGGCAGTTAAAGGTAGGTTGGCTGTGAGTGGGAAGGAGATAGGGTTGCCAACTTCAGGTTAGGAAATTCCTGGAGATTTGGGTACGGCCTGGGGAGCATGGGGTTTGAGAAGGGGAGGGCCCTCAGAAGGGTATAATGCCATAGACTCCATCCTCCGAAACGGCTAGTTCCTCCAGGGGAACTATTTTTGCCAACCTCCAGGTGGGCGCTGGAAACACCCAGAATTACAACTTCTCTCCAGATGACAGAGTACAGTTCCCCTGGAGAAAATGGTTGCTTTGGAGAGTGGACTTTATGGCATTATACTCTGCTGAGGTTGCTTCCCTTCCCAAACATCACCTGCCAAAGCTCCACCCACAAATCTCCAGAAATTTCCCAACCTGGAGCTGGCAACCCTAAGAGTGAAACGATCTCTGTAGTTAGGAGATCTGTTGTGATTCCAGGGGATTTCCAGGCCCCACCTGGAGGCTGGCGACCCAGGAGAGAAGGAAACAAGAAAAGGGGAGAGGCTATGTGGGCTTTCAGGATGAGGAAAGAGGAAGTAGTGTTCAGTTCAGTTCAAAGTTTATTGCATGTAGCCAATGGCCATCACAATATGAAAGACTGGTTGTACAAAGATTGACAATACATTTAAAAGAAAATTAAATATATAGATGAAGTATGAATATAAGTTTTTTTTAAATTAGGTTTCTCAAATAGCACATTCTGAAAGTACAGTCATTCCATAGCCTTATCTCTAATTTTCCTTGCAGCATGAGCATAGAGTGCCATTCTATAGGAGATAGTGGGATTGACGTCTGAGAGCAAAAAGGTTACTATTTCAATGCCTGATGTAGATTGTAAAGTTGTTAGGACTGGGTTAAGAAATTTCATTCTGGGGCCAGTATACAGAGGGCATTCTAAAATGTAGTGTGTTAGATCTTCCACCGAAATCCCGCACAGACAGATACGTTGATCATACGGGGTTTTGAGGTGTTGTCCTTTTAACAGCTCAGATGGCATGGTCTGAAAGCGAAGAGCAGTGAGTGCCCTTCTTATGCTATATATTGAAATAAGAGCCAGATAGGAGGCTCTAGAGTGGTCTGTTCTAAATGCTGGATATCGCAGTGCAAATTTCTGTCGACTGATTAGGGATCTGTCAATTAGTGTATCTTCATTGTAGACCCAGTCCCGCAAATGTAAGTTGTTACCTGAAGGGGATAATAAGTCGTCCGGAATTGTGTATTTATCAATGATGTTGGGTAGTATGCTAAGATGGGCTGGGTTGTTAGTTTGCAGAATATGGAAGCTAGAATTACTAAAAGTGCTAGTATTGGCTAGCTGATGTTTCTTCCAAAGTTTCAAGATTATAACATGTGCCCGAGCCCTTATTGAGGGTAAGCCAAGCTCAGCTCGCATCATGGCTGCTGGTGTCCCCTGTGGGAGTGCCAGAATGCGCCTCATAAAATTATTTCGGATTATTTCCAGCTTGGTAAGGATTTGATCTTGCCATCCCCATACTTCCAACACCACAGAGTATTTGGGGGATGACCTTGCTAATGTAAAGCTTAATGGCAGGATCTATGAGGTGGCCACCCTTATTGTGGAAAAATCCCATTAATGTACCTATGGTCTTGAGAGCTGCTGTTTTTGTTAAATCTATGTGGGCATTCCAGTTCAAGGATTCATGGAAAGTTATGCCCAAATATTTGTAGGTTGAGGAAGTAGTGTGAGAGGGAGAAATGAGATGCCTCTCGCAAGTCCTTGCTGGTTTCTGTGTGCATTTCTCTGATACTTGCTGTCTTTATTAAAGTTACTATTGCCTCTTGTGTCCTTGGTTGAAATTGGTGGACTCCCACTCTTTTGTTTGTTTGTTCATTTGTTTGTTTGTTTAATTCTGAACTTGTAGGATTGGACTGGATGTATTGGGTATGGGTGGAAGGACAACTGTATGTCCTTTATTAAGATGTTACTAGTAATTAATTCTTAGCAAGAAAATGTGTGGCAGTAATGATGATGGAACCATTTACCTGCTTTCTTGTATGCTCTTTGGCAATGGAGGGACATATTGGCTTGGATCCCATAGAGGATTTCCATAGATGGAAACAGGGGGTTCATATTTGCTGATTGTCTCCTGCCCCCATTAACCTCTGACTCCGCCCACTGCTGTTCTGGGGGTGGGCCTTTTCCCAGGTGCAGCATTTTGAAGTATATTTTGGGCCAAGCAGGATAGAGATGGGGACAGAAATCCTGTGTGCTCTGTGGACAGAAATCCTGGGTGAGATCCAAGTCATAAATATTACTGGAAAGTAACAATGGGCCAGTCTGCCTTTATCTGGCCCAAAAATATTTTGGAAAGCAAAGGCAAATTAAGGAGACCTACAAACTACTTGACTTGGGCAAAGCCTGAATGTACAATGCACAAAATATACAAGGCTTTGACTTGGGCAAAGCCTGAATGTACAATGCACAAAATGGGGGTCAATGTAGAGGAAGCAGCTTTCAGATCACTTTGGGGCCCGTCACAGATTTTGTTAAGGCCCCTCCCCCATTCTTCCTGGCTAGAATAGCTTCAGAAATTCAACCAAAGCCCTAGCGGTAGGGATTTCTACTCTAAAATTCAGCTGAATTAAAATGTATTCAGTATAATTTCAGAAAGGCTAAGAATTCACTGTTTTAGTTGGCATGTTTGTTATGTTTGTTGTATCATTCTATTGTCATTTTGTCTAACTACATATGCCATGATTCTTGGCACCCATGGATGCTTCTGGAGGATGTTGTGGCACTGTTTAGGCCTTAACAGAGGCCCCATCAATAGACTCTGCTGTTGCCATTGCCAAGGAAAATGGAAAATAGAAGAGAGTTGCATGTTGAGCTGGGCCCAATATTTGAAGGGGTCTGCATTCAATAAGGGTGGAGTATGTGTCAAGAATTTTTTTAAAGGGGCACTGACCTGGATAGCCCAGGCAAGCCCGATCTCGTCAGATCTCGAAAGCTAAGCAGGGCCAACCCTGGCAAGTATTCGGACGGGAGACCTCCAGAGAATACCAGGGCCAAGAGGCAGAGGCAGGCCATCAAGCTACTTCTCTGAACGTCCTCCATGCCCCAGTAGGAGTCACCAGAGGTTGCCATGACTTCCAGGCATGGGCACACACACACACACGCAAAAAAAAAAATACCAAAAAGAAAAAAGTTTTTTTAAAAAAAGGATTGTGGGCATCTTTATTTTAGGTCGATTTTGAATTCACTGTAAATAATCCATGGGTTGGATCCAGCTAGACTTTTTGTGCAGTCTCACCCATTTCTCCTCCTTACTAAACCCCTAGTCCCATGTGGTTTCTCTTCATAAGTGGGCAAGGGGGGCTTCTCCCTTTTTCACCAGTGGAAATGCTAGTTGGATCCATTCCCATGTTATTCCAAGATGGTGACCATCACCATGGTCAGGTATATGCAATAATATAAAAAATAGTAAAATTGTTTTGTGCAAGTCATTTTACAGAATTTTTTCTACACAAAGAAAAATTAATATACTACCATTCGCTGAGGTGATAAGGCGGCATAGAAATATTTTCAGTCAATAAATAAAAATACAGTGATGTGAGCAACTACAACCAAATGTGTGCAGCAATTAATACAGCTCTGCCTTTCCTTTCAGGTTCATTATAATGTTGGCAAAAACTTGGCTGATAAAGGCAATCAAAGTGCTGCAATCAGTTATTACAGAGAGGCTGTAAGGTAGGAGTTACTTTTAAAAAAATGAGCAGGAAGAAGTTGCGGGATCTTGTTTCATCGACCAGTAGGAAAGAGAGAGAGAGAGAGGACACAATATCCTGTTAGCAATTTGATTTGGAATAATGCTGACTTTTCTGTAGATTCAGGTAAATTACTTTAAAAGCTCAGCATCAACAGTAGAGAACACCACAATGCATTAAGGGATGCACCCTGCAAGGTCAGCTTTTCATCGTGTTTGATCTTCTTGCTGTCACTGGAAGGTATAATACATTTAAAAAAAAATCGATACAAGGGTTTTATTTGTTTTGAAATGTTATAAAACAATGGTACAAACAGCCAGTTTAGAATATGGTATGAAATCTGATCGTTGTGACTGGAATGACAATTGCATATTATTGGAAGTGGCATGGAAATCCCAGAAGTATTTGAATGGTATAGAAGAAATGTAGCAAGCATTGCAAACGTGGCAAAAGACTTGTTGAAAATGATCTTTCTGAAGGACTTGATAATAAGGAGCGGTATTTATTTTTAACAGTACAGTTTGAGAGCCAGTTTGGTGTAGTGGTTAAGTGCACGGACTCTAATCTGGGAGAACCGGGTTTGATTCCCCACTCCTCCACTTGCACCTGGCTGGATGACCTTGGGCAAGCCATAGTTCTGGCACAGCTGTTCTTGAAAAAGCTCTCTCAGCCCCACCTACCTCACAGGGTGTCTGTTGTGGGGAGGGGAAGGGAAAGGAGTTTGTAAGCCGCTCTGAGACTCCCTTGGGGCGGGGTATAAATCCAATCTCTTCTTCTTCTTCTTCTTAATAAAATATGGTGTGTATTATAGTTGAAAGTGCAGTCCTTAATACTATGCTGGAAGCAAGCCCATGCTTATTAAGATAGCAACATAAAAGCTATTGCTTTGGGCGACAGATTCCCAAGGGGGTGCCATTTTCCTGCCTCTGGCTTCCCCTTGTCTATTTTTAAAAAATGGCCCGAGTCTGGGGCAGGGGATGGTGGTCTGATTTGTGAATCGTAGCGTCCAATTGCCTAGGGCTGCCACCAGTTGATATAAAATGGAAGAAGGGGTTGAAAATGGGTGACTGTGCTGTGAAGTTGAAAGGGAATGAATAGTATAACCTCTTTCCAGCTAATAATTCTTTTTTATCTTTCCAATCCCAGACTGAATCCTAAATATGTGCATGCCATGAACAACCTGGGAAACATCTTGAAAGAAAGGAATGAACTCCACGAAGCTGAAGAGCTTCTCTCGCTAGCTGTGCAAATACAGTAAGTTTTTTAGCAACAATAAAAAAGTCCAGTTGTTGCACAAATGATATAAAAAGAATCTTTCACTCCGTATACTAAGACAAATATGGCAATTTTGGCTAGGCCTGATTTTGCAGCAGCATGGATGAATCTAGGAATAGTACAGAATAGTTTAAGAAGATACGAAGAAGCAGAGCAAAGCTATTGGACTGCAATCAGACATAGGAAAAAATATCCAGATTGTTACTACAATTTAGGACGCTTGGTAAGTGAATTTAATTATATTATTAAGCCGAAATGGATTTTAAGAGACAGTGCTATGACAGATTTAATTTTTCTAGTGGTGTTTATTTCCATGTAAACAAATTTAGGATTGCTTGTTTGTTTGTTTCTTTAATTGTATTTATACCCCGCCCTCCCTGCGAACGGGCTCAGGGCAACTTTTGCAGTTTGCAAAACTGCAGTTTGAGTATCATAAAGACCAGATGTACACTGAGGATCACTTTATGGCATTAATATCCAGGTACTTTGCCTTCTTCCTCAAGAAATCAGACTTTGGAACCTCTGACAAAATAATCTTATGCAGTGTTACTGCGTTCGAAAGCCCAGTGAAATAAATCATTTAATTGGGCTTAGACTGATGAAGTAAATCTGCATAGAATTGAATTGCTGCTTGGCTTAGACTGAGTCGACTGAAATTGAATCCGACGAAGACGGAGGTCCTGTGCCTAAGTCTGAGTGGCCCGAGGGTAGGGATCCCATTGCCGGCCTTTGATGGGGCACCGTCAGTGCCAGCACCGAGGGTCAGGAGTTTGGGAGTGCTCCTGGATGCCTCCTTAACGATGGAGACCCAGGTAGCAACCACCGTGAAGTCAGCCTTTTATCATCTTCGGCTGATCAGGCAGTTGGCTCCCTTCCTTGAACACAATGACCTGGCAACAGTGACAATGGCCACTTCGAGACTGGATTACTGCAATGTCCCAAATCTGGAAGCTGCAGCTGGTGCTGAATGCAGTGGCCAGGCTGTTGTTGGGTCTCCCTATGCAGGAGCACATCCAGCCTGCGCTAAAAACACTGCATTGGCTGCCTGTAGCATACCGAATTTGGTTCAAGGTGCTGGTTCTTACCTTTAAACCCTTATATGGTCAGGGGCCTACATACCTAAGGGACCGCCTTTCCCCACATGTTCCCCAGACAGCACTATGATCGGAGTCTCAAAACCGTCTGGCCCTCCCGAGCCCTAGAAAAGCCAGGTTGGCCGTGATGAGGGCCAGGGCCCTTTCAGTGGTGGCTCTGCACTGGTGGAATGAGCTTCCATAAGAGATCAGGGCCCTGCGGGAACTTTTACCATTCTGGAGGGCCTGCAAGACAGAGCTCTTCCACAAGGCCTTCGACTAGGGAGCCGCCGCAATAAATTGAGGCCCTGGCCCCTTAACATCATCCTTTATATGTTAATGCCAGTTTGGTGTAGTGGTTAAGTGCGTGGACTCTAATCTTGGAGGACCGGGTTTGATTCCCCACTCCTCCACTTGCACCTGGCTGGATGACCTTGGGCAAGCCATAGTTCTGATAAGAGCTGTTCTTGAAAAAGAGCAGTTTCTGTCAAGAGCTCTCTCAGCCCCACCTACCTCTCAGGGTGTCTGTTGTGGGGAGGGGAAGGGAAAGGAGTTTGTAAGCTGCTCTGAGACACCTTTGGGTAGTGAAGGGTGGGGTATAAATCCAATCTCTTCTTCTTGTTGTTAGATGCTGCTAATGCCCACCATCGTTCACGAACAGCACTAGCACTTACACAATGTTTTATAATTATACTGCTGTGATTTAATCCTGTGTTTTAGTTCTCTAATATATTTTATGTAAGCTGTCCTGAGCCTGCCTCGGCAGGGAGGGCGGGATACAAATCAAATCAAATCGAATAAATAAATAAATATTATATATGTTCCCTATGGGGAAAAAGACCAAGTGCATGTACATAGTGGTGAAAGACCAGAACTCTAATTCCTATTATAATTTGCTATTTCCAGTGCCTTTGTTAAGTAAGTGCTGTACAGAAATGAAAAGACACAGGCTCTGTTGTCAGGCTTCCATTCTAACCGTGCAATCTTAAATCCATTGCAATCCTAACTCCTTTGCCTTCTGGGATCTCAGAAGACTGTAACTCTTCTTGGGGTGGTACTGTAAGAAACTGAGAAAAGGGAGTGGACTACTTATTCTTCCTCTGTAATTTGGTTTAAAATTATTGATACAGCAACAGCCTCAAAATGTTGCAGCTTTTCAATTTGGTTGCCTTTTGCTTGAATAAATCAGGCCATCATCTGATATGATAAGCCTGTTGATACATATTGGTGCTTTCACACACACTAAATAAGACACTTTCAATCTACGTTCAGTGCAATTTGCAGCTGGATTTTGCTGTGTGAAATGGCAAAATCCGCTTGCAAATGTTCACCAAAGTGAATTGAAACGGCATTATTTAGCATGTGTGAAAGCGCCCCATGTTTATATGCCCATAGATGGAATATTATATTGTGCAAGTATTTTTTTCTTCTTCTTGATCATGGTTGTACCTTTGATACACAGCTGTCTGCTGGCCACTTGTATCACTGTCTGTCAGGGGAGCCCTGTGGAACAAACCTAGAAACAGTTTCATGCTCCTCATACTGTAGCTGTCTGTTAGGTTGTGACTAGAGTTCTCAAGTTGTTCATTTAGGACTGGCGGTTTGAGAATTCTTGTTGCTTGATTTCTAAGCTCCCCCAAAATATGATTTATGACTTTAAAGATGTATTCTTAAAACTGAAGTAGTACTGAAGATTTTAAAAAAGAGTGGAGGAAAACAGTAGAATAGGGGCACATATTTCTATTAAAATGGTTTTGACATGTTGTTCCTTTAAAAAAAAAAAAATAGATTGGCTATTAATGTAATGATGGGTGAGCTACATAAATATTTAGTTGGAGCCAGACTCACAAATTGGACTTTCTGCCAATCTAAAGACCCTTGAAAGGGTTCAGTCTAAATTTCTTAGATCTCTATTTGGCGTTCCTAGAAGCACTTCTAATGTAACACTTAGGCAAGAGGCTGGTCTACTCAGAGTCGAAGCAAAGGTCTGGGAACAGGCTATAACACTCTGGCTAAAAATTCATTACAACCCAAAGGGTTTAATACCCTACCTTTTAGCCTTGGGCCCTTACCGTGCCTGGTCCACACAAATTCTTAATAAGTTAAATCAGATTGGCCTATTCCCAGAAGATCTCTTCTATGGAAGCCTATACAAGGCAAGAACAGCTGTCGCGCAGAGGCTTTGTGATATTGAATCACAAAATGAAGAAGCTTTGCTACACAAGAACTTCAGAAATAAAAAATCTTGGCCTAATTTTACTGTTGCCCCTTATTTAGTTAATATTACCTATGAACCCTATAGATGGGCCTTTTCCAGCGCCCGTTTTGAGGCACTCCCTTCTGCTGTACTGCAAGGTAAATTTACTCGAGTTCCAATGCATGAACGTATATGCCCATGCATGGCTAATATGGTGGAATCAATTACTCATGTCCTCCTGTTCTGCAAATTCTATCAGGAGGAACGAGACCATCTTATACTACCCCTTCTGTCTAGATTTAGCCCTCTGCAGTCTTATCTTGACTTTAGGCCAGAAGTACTTCGTAAATTCTTCTTAGAAGACGTTCAGAGCTCAGTGACTTACACTGTGGCAAAAATTTGTTCCTTAGCTATTAGGAAACGTAAACGTATTTTAGCTGAAAAAATTGTACGATTCTCTTATTAACATTATTTTATTTTACTAATTTTATTAACTTTCTCTTGTTAATGTTTTTATACTATTCCCATGTTATTACTGTTTTAATCCTTCTTATATCAGAATTGTACTGTTTTACTGGCTCTTGCTGCAATAAATTAGATTGGATCGGAGTTGGAGCCAGGGTGCCCTTTCATAGAATCATAGAATGTTAGAGTTGGAAGGGACCTTGCTGTTTGTCTTCCTGGGAGGGAGATGGTGCAGCTACCCAGCAGCCTTCGATCCTCAGGCTAGGACTGGGTACATATGCTCAACATACGCACTGTTCCTCGCCCTTCCTAAAATCAGTGAAGCATAAGGACTAATTTCATAGATTTAACATAGTATATTTCTCAGATGAGGAAACTTTGAGGAAACAGTTGGTGTCTTCAACCATCAGTGAATTTTGTGGCGTAGGACTGTCATGATTGCCCCTCCAACTGCAATCCTCTATGCCCCCTGAAATCCCCCCCCCCGGGAGTCAGCAGACCTCAGGAACAGCATCGGGGACAAAGTGGGGACCTGCAGTGGGAGAGAGGAATTGGTGAAATAGCTGCCCCCCTCTTCTGAAAATTTAAATGTCATTAAGTCTGGATGTGTGTTAGTAATTTACATCAGACGATAATATCACATATATTCCTGGGGGTACAGAGCTGTTGTCGTAAGTGTGTAACCTGTGTACTGTGTACTGTAGAGCTGCAGCTCTTGGTGGGGGGTTCACACACATTACTTGATTTCTTTCATTACTTCAGGCCTTGACAAATTTTCCTTGGCTGTAGAAGCTAGTCCAAAAATTTAGAAGCCAGACTCTTTTTTCCATCTTCAGAGCTTCGTACTATATTCCCCACAAAACCAAATCCTAACCCATTCACAGTCTCTTGTAATTTTATTAAAGCTATGACAAAAATGTTGTACGTAAACAAATATAAGTTGTTATCACTACAACAAAAAGCTATTCCCTGCTCTTCGTTTTCCCTGACCTGGATGGGCCAGGCTAGCCCAATCTCAGCACATCTCAGAAGCTAAGCAGGGTCAGCCCTGGTCTGTGTTTCAATGGGAGATCATCAAGAAAGTCCAGGGTTGCTACGCAGAGACCGACAATGGCAGACCACGTCTGAATATCTCTTGCCTTGGAAAACATATGGGGTCGCCATAAGTCAGCATTGGTATGGCATTTTCTACCATCACCAACCATAGCCTAATTTGTCCCCTATTTCTAATGATTCCATTACTGCTTTAAAAAGCTCAATTTAATTGAATCTTGGAACAAATATAGAAAGCAACTAATTAATAAATGAATTCGTCCACCACCACTGGATGGAAGAAAGTTGACATATAAACAGTCTATGACAAGAACTTCATGCACATGTGTTTTTACGCCATATAACAAAACATATGCTGATATGAAATTATAAATTAGCTTCTCATTGAGAGACACTACAGTGAAAGCATTGCTAAAAAAACTAAGCACCACAGTGAAATCCCTAGACCCCATTGCAACCTGGTGCCTGGGATTTGTCAAGGCTTGGTATCTCTGTATATTAATAATTGAGTTTTCGTGTGACTCTTTTCTGAACCTTCCACATGCTCCCACAGCCTTTGGGTCCCTGCACTGTCAGTCCAACACTGTACCAATCCAGTGGCTGCTGAGGCGGCACCCAGCATCTCAGCCTCAGTGGGGTGCAAGGTGACAGAAGGGACAGGCTGCTTGCGCGGGAAACAGAAACCGACACCAGGCCGGGAGGGCCCCTTTCATTGGCCAGGCTGCTTGCCTCTCACTCTCCTGCCACTGGAGTGGAGTCTCATCGCCACCCCTTCCCAGCAGCGCTCACACAGAGCTCTTGCCCTCGACCCACCCGGCCTGCTTCCCTTTCCTCTACCAGATGGACGCCTGCTTTGCATAGAGCCCCTCGCACAGGGGGGGGAGATGAGCAGGGACCGAAGACCACCAAGGCTTCTCTGCAGCCAGCCACTGTCAATATCCTCCCCACTTCTTAGGGCGGGGCGGCCGGCCTGGGGGCGCAAGTTACAGCTCCCGCATGCCTTCCCCTTGCCTAGCGCGAAGCTCTGTCTGAGGGAGCCCTCTCGAGGTCTCCATCCCCAGCAGCCATTGAGGGGAACGGGCCGTTGCCGGGCGTGTGCAAAGCCCAGCGGAGCAGCCCTCACCACCTCAGGTCTCCCCTCTGCCGAGACCTCCTGTCCCCGCCCGCTGCCCCTTCCCCGGTGAAGACACGCCGGAGCTGCGACCGCTCCCTCAGCTGGCCCCATGCTCACCTGCTACCGTGCCCCCCTCCAAGCCCACTGTATCGGCGGCGGGCAGAGACAGGCTGCCATTTGGCGGGCTGCAAGGCCGGCATCTTTCTAGAGCTTGTTGTCTTGAGTCTACAATGGGCTTTGCCACTAGTAGTTGATAATTGGCTTTAAAACATGTGACTCCTCTGAAAATCAGTATATCCGAGGTGGTATGAAGGTTCTGTCCGTGGAGTTATACCTGTGATATCCCATTCACACACGCTTTAGAAGTTCAGAGAAATGTGACTTTGTCAAAATAAATAAACTTTGTCAAAATGTCCACCTTGTCACAAAACTTCCTAATATTCAGCCTTTGGGAGGCGATGGATTAGCTCAACTGTTCTGCTGCTCCCATCCCTCCCCCAGCATCTCTGACTAAAAGCAGGGAACGAGAACCATTCAGTTCAAATTGTCCTGTCTTTCCAAACGGTGACCTCTATAAATTTGCCTTGAGAACTTATTTACAAAGTATATTGCTTCTTGCTGTTCTGGTTCTTTCATATACCTGATTTATATTCTCTGCCTAGAGGAATATGAGTTGGATGTGAGATCTGAATAAAAATCTGATGTATTCAGGACTGCATTTATTTACCAACTATGTTACTTTCAGTATGCTGATCTAAATCGACATGTAGATGCATTGAACGCATGGAGGAATGCCACTGTTCTGAAACCACAACACAGTTTAGCTTGGAACAACATGATTATATTGCTTGATAACACAGGTAGAGTATGAGATTTACACTTTATTATTCAAGTAAGTGGTTTGTTTGGATGTGGAATGGTATAGTGTAGCCTGATCTTGTCAGATTTTGGAAGCTAAGCAGGGTTGGTACTTGAATGGGAGACTATCAAGGAAGGCTCTGCATAGGAAGGCAATGGCACACCACCTCTGCTTAATCACTTGCCTTGAAAATCCTATGGGGTCTCTCTAATGGCACAGCTTAATGGCACTGTACACACACACACATACACATGGTTTGTTTACGTACTAGTTTTATTGTTCTTTCCCTCCCCGAATAGTTCTGTAGAGGAAATACTAGTATGCCATTTATATGGAGACCACAATTCAGAAAACCAACTAGTTCTCAAATAGAAGCTCCTCTGAACCTATTCAAGGGGGGCTGGGAGTTGAGCTTCTGTACTGTGGCTTTCAATGATCAGTTGTTGCTTTATGTTCCAGGAAATAGTTCTTGCTACCTCATATCAAGAACATTTTTATCTCTCCCTTCTCTAAGGAGGTTGTTGTAGTTTATATGGTTGAAATACTCCCCTGCCCATTTAGTTGCAAGAGTTTGAATCATTCCTAAAATAGGCCTTTGGCATTTTGAAAAAACAGCACTGAATTTGAAAGACAATAATGAATTGATGGTTGCGGTCGAGCAACCCACTCCAGCAATTAGCTCTGGGCATGGAGGAGCTTCCCTGCCTATAATAGTTATCTTTACACTGAAGTCAATAAAGTATCCACGTTTGCAGGAATTGAATGTGTGCAGTGGACAGGAACTGGAGCAGGCCATAGGGATGAAGTCTTCTCACAACAGCCCTTTTGATTTTGGAGCAATTATTCATATGGAAGAAACTTTAATGCAGTCACACATCGTACAATGTCATAATCTTCATAAAATGATACATGTAGTTGTTGCTTCGCTTTGTGTTTCAAATAATTTGTGTTTCCAAATCATCAGCAGAGGGCAGCTCAAGTACCTGTCAGTTGACTAACGAGCCATCACTTCAGGCTGCTGGCACTCAACCCATGCTCTTTTGTACTGTGGTGGAGACCCAAGGGTACCATCCAAAACTGTTTGGTGCCTTGCCTTTCAGCATGGGCTCACTTCTTCCTTAGGTAAAAGGTAAAGGTTTCCCTTGCTCGAAAGCCAGTCGAATCCGACTCTAGGGGGTCATCTCCATTTCCAAGCTGAAGAGCCAGCGCTGTCTGAAGACATCTCCATGGTCACGTGGCCAAATTCTGGATTTTCCAAAATCGTTTATGAGCTCACTGAAATCACAGATCAAAGTGAACTTGTTTACAGTCAATACGGACATGTTAATTTCAATTTAAAATATGTTTATTAGCTGTTAAATATTTCCATTTCTCACAGGTTTAAAATATGATGAAAACATAGACTGGTCTCTGTGTCTGAATGTGCTGACTTCACTTCTCTTGCAAGCCCTCTGATGGCCTTGTATGTTCAGGGTTATTAACTTTATACCACATGTGCAAAGTAGCCAGCCTATTAACAGTGTTAAAATTACTATTCACCTTTTCCCCTCTCATTCTCTGTATTCCTAGGTAACTTGGCACAAGCTGAAGCTGTCGGACGGGAGGCTCTGGAGTTAATACCTAATGATCATTCTCTCATGTTTTCACTGGCAAATGTACTGGGGAAATCACAGAAATATAAGGTACCAGAAGCCCTTCTAATAATTACCTTGGAGTACACCTCACAGTAAATAAGACAGAAAATAAGTTGTCAGCATTGCAGATACAATTACATTGCTGCATTGAGAAACAATGGCATATTTCTATGAATATTATTCCTCAGATAAGATTAGTCCTTGATACTGCTTCAGTATTCACCATGGTTTTGCGTAAGAACATCTAAAACTATGCTGTCAAGGTTTAAACAATATATATTTGTGTGTTTAGCAAATTTACATGCCACCTCTCTAGAGACCTGCTTGAGATGGTTTATGACTAAAATAATACAACAAAGCAAAAAGATCATTTAGAAGAAAGCCATGACACGAAATGAACACTGAGCAACCTAAAATTGTATTGATAAAACAGTCCTTAGGCCAGGAACAACGAAAAAAGATTTTTTAAAAAACCCTTAGTTTAAAAGCATGGGTTTTGACCTGAAATCTAAAGGAAAGGCAAGCATCAGGCAAGCTTCAAAGGGGAGGGTATTCCAAAGGTGAAGTGCCACCACTGAAAAAGCCTTGTCTCTTCTTACCACCCGCCTCACCTATGCAGGGTTTGAAAAGAGGATCTTACCTGGTGAGCTTGACAATACAGTAGAGGGCAGTCCTTCCATGGGATCACATGTAAAAACTGAATCCTTCAGTTTCTTTGTTGATAACTTATCTATTTAGTTACAATTTTTCTTTAATTAATAATAGGGCAAACTGGACCAAATATGTTGTATCAATGTTTATAAATGTTGTTTGGGAAGGATATTGTTTGTGAAAATATCCAATAGTTTCAATACTTCTTTGTGAAAATTAAATACAGCTTTGACCAGTCAGCCAAAAAACAATTTTAGGCCTTTTGTTAAAAATAATAAATACATTCTAATCTCCATTCTCTGTAGTTACGGTTCTTTTCTACATGCTCAAGTTATTCCTGATTTTCTTGTCGGTTGATCCACAAGCACTGGAATTGGTTTAGGCAGGGTTCTTCTGCACATCTTCCATCCTGTGCATTTTTACAGTTCTTCTGCAAGTGCCTTCAATAATGAGGATTTTCAAGGGGGTGTGTGTTGTCATCATTGGTCGTTATCAGTGGTGTCAGAGCAACCCCTCTATTTTTTTTAAAAGGCCCTAAAATAGCGATAGAATGCTGTTGTGTTGCAGTGAAACTTTACAGTGACAGTTTAAGCAATTCTCTGAATTCCAAGCTTTCATTTTTTTTTTAAAAAAAGTAAGTCTTTAGCACTTTCTCTAGTGGATATATCCTTTTCCCTTATATCTCCATGAGTGAAAGGGCTAGGGACTTCCTTTTTAAAACATTAAAACTGGGAATTCAGATAATCTGCTTAAACTATCATTGCAACACTACGGTGTTATATCGCTATTGTAGGGCTTTTAAAAAAAATTATAATCAGTTGTGGGAGGTTTAGTGATGACAACGGTCCTATCATTGAAAAGTGGGCTGGTGTTGGGTGGGAAAATGGACAGAAATATTATGCACTAGGAAAAAGCTGACTCAAAATCAGCTTCCCAAAAAACATCAGGGTAAAAGTGGTCTCAAGTGCTGGGTAAAAGAGGGCAGAAATAACACATACCCCCCACCCCAACAAAAGTGAAAATTAAAGGAACAAAAATGCATGCGGAAATCGGGATAAACTGAAGCAGTATGGGGCCAGAACCGACTAAAAAAAAAAGTGGAAAAGCCCACAGTTCTGTTCCAGTAGTGGAGGAAGGGGATCCATTCCATTGGTTAATATCTTTCTTGTATGTCTTAACTGACTGGATTTTACAACTGTGTCTTTGAGTAACTTTGTAGATAGCTGCTACAAACCTATGAAAAGGCAGGACATAATTTTAAAAAACCCTTTTAAAATCTCTGGCTGCAATTTTCAACTACTATAACTGCATCAAAAATAGTCTTATCAGTTTATTTGGGACTAAATTCAGTTAAAGTGCAAGAATGCTGGTTGGAAGGGGCAATTTCTCTGAGTAGCCAGTTTATAATACTGTCCACAAGTGTTTTTGTGTTCTTACTCGCACCAGAGTAATTACTCTTTAATTGACAGCAACTACCAGAAGACAGCTGGATCAGGCTGTGAATTACATTGTATGTATATCCATTAGAGGAAAGTAGAAGTGTGAATGCACATGGGAAAAAAATATGGTGACATAATCATGTTAATAGACCACAGAGCATGAGGTAATTGATGGTGTTTGGTTGTACTTGACATTGTGTGCACTACAAAAAATAGCTGGTCCTGTTGATCTCTTTTTCTGAATTATTCAGGAATCGGAAGCTTTGTTCCACAAGGCAATTAAAGCCAATCCAAATGCAGCCAGTTACCATGGTAATTTGGGTAAGACATTTTACAGTTCCCCTAGTGCAAACTTAAAAAAAAAAACCAGACACACTGCTTGTACTTCTTTTCACGTCCATTGTCTTTAAAAACTACTGTTTTTAAAGGCATTCTTCCACCGGCTAGATTTCTATGCTGATGACTTGCTAAACAAATTGCCAACAAGAGAATGGAGTTCCAAGAATGCAGAGGCTTACTTGCATTGTGCGATCGACCAACCAGGCAGTGCGTTGCATCCCAGAGGTGGCTGCACGGCAGTGGTGGCAAATTGGCTCTTTTGTGCCGTGCTTGCAAACCGCCATGAGCTCTCCAGATAAAAACAGCAATTTATAGCTCTAGCACAATCCGCTCTTGTCATTCCTTGGCCCGCTCGGCTCCCAAACGCGTCTCCTCCAGCTGGCAACGGAACAGGCTGCCACAGCGCCGGCAGCCAACTGAATGTTTTAATGTTTTCTAAGTAATTGGCAAGATTGTCTATTCTTCCAACCACGTTGCTAACAAAAACTCCTCTTTTTGCTGTTTCAGCTGTGCTGTACCATCGCTGGGGAAATCTTGACTTAGCCAAGAAACACTATGAAGTCTCTCTGAAGCTTGACCCCACAGCAGCTGGGACCAGGGAAAACTATAGTCTTTTAAAAAGGAAACTGGACCAACTGCAAAAGAAGGGGTGATGTCTGAGGTTTCTTCTCAGGCTTTGAATGCATACGGCACACCATTGACTGGTAACATGGCTACTAATCACCAGAGGGACGCTTTCACCACTCCCTGTCATTTAAAAAACAAAAAGCCCCTATAATTACAGCACCAGCAGTGGAGATACTCTAATGTTTCACGGAGGCTAACCATCCAAAATAAATTTATTTTACAAAAAGAACAAGGGTTTTTAAAAAAATATATATGTCAAGTTGGAGGATTAAAAGGAGTGTGTTTCTGCCTTAAAATCTGCAAACCAGTTTTTAAAAGCCGTTAAACATTTTACAGTGTGATAACTAAAGCCAGCAGTGCTGCTTGGGGGCCACATTAAAATGAAGAGGGCTTTCTTTGAGAGGGGACATATTGAGGATGTACGTATTGGTGGCATAGGTGAACACAGCACAGTATGACCATGAAAGGATACCAATGAAGAGTCAGGATTGCTTTTGCCAACACATTCTTCTTATTTAAAGACATAGGAATTCTGATGCACTGTTGAGAAGATAGGCGGCCTTGTCGTAGCGGCACCATCTTCAATAACAAATGTTAGTTTATCTATGCAGAGACATTGTTTGCTCCAGTAAAATGAAAGTCATTTTTTTCTTGTTGGGGTGTTTTTCTTTAACGCTGTGTGCCACCAATACAGAGCTAGAATACCAGTGAGAGTGGAATAGGTATTTTCCACATCAAATGAGAACTTTCATTCCAATCCTTTATAGGTTCAGAGTCGACCTTTAGTTGTTGTGGTACAATTTGAAAGCAGCGAGTTGGATGAATTACAAAGGAGCGCTTGATGTCCAAGCAATAAGCTTCTGCTGTCCTCTGGTAAATATCTTAACAGTGGTTAGCCAGAGTTTGTAGCACCTCGGCTGGGGCCGAGATTGTTTTTTTTTAAATCATTGTGGCTTTTTGGTCTGTTTCTGAGCTTCTGTTTTTTGAGCAGCTGCTTTTGAGGGGATAGCGGCCTAAATCCACATGACATGTCGGGTTTTCTGGGATCTTCCTTTTCATCTCATGGATAGTGATAATAAATGATAGCAGAGAGTCAGCTTCAGTGTTCCTAAGGCTTGGTTCACGTGATCCAAAACTATTTAGGCACAGCATCCTCCAGGACATCCTGGAGGATGCAACTATGTTTGGAAGTAATATCCACAAAGCTGGTTCACATGGAAAGTTTTAGAGTGTCTGAATAGGGCAGCTATAAAATAGGAAGGGATGTGTCTTGAATTTTAAGTTTTAGAAGGTGTTGGGTGCAAATAAAATTCTGATACAACCATCTCAAAACCTTAGCTGTGTAAACAACTTCCAGATAGATTGATCTTTTATTTCCTGTTTTATTAAGTGGCTTATTAGACCACTCAAGACAGAGGGTTGGATCCAGCACAGTGTTGGATTTCTGCTCATGGAGCATGGCTTTGTTAGCTTTTCCCCTTTTGCAGCACCCTGAAATACTCTGTGAAATTCTGTCCTATGGGGGCATTTTGAGTTGCCATGGGAGGGGGGAGCTAGCTAAGCCCTTGAATTCACAGAAATGCTGTGCTGGATTCAACCCAGAATTTTCCTAAAGTCATTGAGAACATATGAGTCTCTCCCCCCCCCCCATTCTTCCATTCCATGTTAGTCCTGGTGCAGTCTGAAGTTACTGGTGTGGAAGTCAAAATCAAAAGCTGCCTTTTTGTGTCGATGTGTATATGTGGAAAGGCAAATTTTGCTGCCGGAGCTGTGTCCCACTCAGTGTTAAACAGTCCTGTCTTATGAGAACAGATACATCTGTATTTAGTTTTTAAAAAGAAAAGGTTATTACAATATATGACAGCACGAGACACCTGTTATGGGACCGAGGGCCTGAGATCAGCCCCTCCCACCCCCAACATGGGGTTATAAATGCATCATTCTCCTGAAATCACTACCATTTCTGCTGTTGTAATGGAAGATTCTATGAGAGCAGCCCTAAGCAAATCTCCTCAGAAATTAGACCCATTTTATTCAATGGGGTTTGCTCCCAGGAAGATGCTTGTAGGAAATCAACCTATGTATCTCACCATATGAATGACTTTAATAAAAATACAAGATTGTACATAAGCACATCACTTAAAACAAAACTATGTAAACTAGAAATACAAATGATTTCTGAGGTATTAAAGGATTTTGTTAAATACTTTGAAATTTTCTCAACTGGGACTTCAAATGTAGATTAGCTTGACTCCTTGAAAAAACCATTTTAGATGAGAAACGTTTCCTATTTGAATACTGTGATGTTTAATGTAGTTAATTCTCTTACTCATTATCCTTGTGTCTGTGGTTTATGTAGAAGATTTGTCCCCATTGGCCTGCACTATTAGTTCTGAATTAACCCAGTAGAACAACATTTTACACAGAATGTGAAATGTACAAAGGAAAGCTTTAAAGTTATTTGTTCATCTAAACTGAGCATTTTACTTTTATTTTTATATGCTGAAAAATATTGGATTTTCTGTTTTTTTACCGCATTTGTAAAATAGAGTAATATTTTCCATACTTAATGTTCCAGTTTGTTTGAAGTAAGTTGTATGTCCCCTTTCCCAGCACTGTAGTGTGAATTTAGTTCTATTTAAATGTGTTGACTATGCAAAAGTTTTGAATGGGAAACATGGATGAGATGTACAGGTCACTGAACATATTATGCAGTGGCAAATCTGTGTTTGCCACTAAGCGAACACTGAACGGGAGCTGCAACCAAGCTGTTTGCAAACATATTTTTATTACATGCACACTTTTCATTTTTATCTCTACAGTTAAAACATTTTCATGCACCTAAAAATGTAATGTCTGTAATAGACTTGCATGTGGAAATAATTGTCATTCTGTTAACAGTTCAGTTTCTGAATGGCTTTAATACAGTGCAAAAAATAATGATGTATAGATGTTACTGGGGAGGAAATCGCCACCCCTGCCTCCGCTATTTAAATAATGTCTGTATTTCGTTTTATCAAAATCCCTACAGGTCTAGATGCCTTGGCCCTGAAGTTCTATATCATAATACTTTATGATACTGTACTAACGGTGCTGTTCATAATCCCATCAGAAGCACTATTGTGGCTTCACAGCATGTTTTATAATTGGGCCAGTCACATGTCTGATCCAGATGGGAAACTGGTCTTAAAAACTTTTGAAAACCTGTCCTTATTAGTGACTTAAGTACTATTTTGCTTTCTGAAAAGGCTTCTCTTATAGCCTTATACAAAACAGTTGATTGTACAAAACTCTTATATACTGTCTAATTTGACAAATGTTTCCATTTATGTGATGCAAGGTTGTCATAAACATCTGCATTTTAAAAAAAAACAGACACAAATATAGGCCTTTATACAAGAGAACCGGTTGTATAGTTTTGGAACACACTGTAAAAAGTTTGGTGATACATTCAATGTATGTAAAATTTTCAAGGCTTATCAAACAGTGTATGTATGTTTCTGTAATAAAAAGCATGAGGACTTCTAAACCAACTGCAACTGCTGTTGTAGTCTGAGTAGTCCTTTTTTAATGTTTTGAATTTTAATAAATTATTATCACGCATGACGCTGCCTTATACTGAATCAGACCTCTGGTCCATCAAAGTCAGTATTGTCTACTCAGACTGGCAGCAGCTTTTCGGGGTCTCAGGTGGATGTCTTTCACATCAGCTACCACACATTCCATTTTCTGTTATTAATACAAAATGTGAAGAAAGTTCACTTGTTATAAAGTCTGATCTACAGTTTACCTCTTTGTAAATGAATTACAAGTTAAAAGCATTCTGCTGAAGAATCCTGATAAATGTAGTGTTTCAGTAAGCACAGAATGTTAATGCAGTGAGAAGAGGAAAAGGTAATACCTCTTCTGTTGCCGCTTAAGCCTCTCTTTGTGGAAATCATGTATTCTTGTATCTCTGCACCCATTTTTATGGCAGTGTTCTGAGTCTTTTAATGGGAATTATTTATCCACACTTGAAATCATTAAAGGCATTTATTTCAATTAGAGTGAAGTAGGTTCCTACCTTTTCCCCATGGAAATCAGTGCTATCTTGTGTTTTTGAATCCCCAGCCTAAAGCATCTAGTTCGAGGTTCCTTTTCAAGAGATCCAAAGGACCCATCCACCATTGGTTTATTGACCATGTCCAATACTGGGAGCCCTGAAAGTAATTTGTGAGACAGTTGGCCCACATTTCAATCCAGTGAAGCTGTCAAATTAAAAGTAGATTATATTCAGAGTGCAAATTAAGACAGCCCACCTTCCCTGCTTTCCTGCCTTGCTTTTGCAGAAGGTTGCTACAATAAAAACTTTAACATTAATCAGGATGAAAACTCATTTTAGATGTTTTTATGTAAGGATTGGCCTGGTGGAGATGATTAGGTTGAAGGCTGGGGGATATCCTAATTGTTCCTTTTCTGTTCCTCCCCTAATTCCTAATAGACCCCTAACCTATTTTCACTAATAGATGTGCTAGTTTTTGCCACTGTTTCTGACTTCTTCCTAGCAGGATGCATACACCTTCAAACTGTATGGTGCGCTTGGGAACCTGTTTTTTTGTGGTGCAGTCTGTGGCTATGTACACAATACATGATTTGATGGTGAGTTTGGGGTGACAACACATAAATCCTGAAAATCATGAGAATCCATGCTTTGGGAACCACATTTTTGCACTGTGGCAGGACCACAAAGCAATGGATCTGTGATTTTAGTGGTGCAGTTTGTGGGTGATTCTGCATCTAGCATTTGATCCACATTTTCTCAACTGGGAGGAAATAGTGCAACTATTTTAAATACTTCGGGGCAATGCTGTACTGACTGCAAAGTCACCCCTGAATAGCCATAGAATGGTCATAAATCCATGCAGAAGGTTCAATAAAATGCGATGATCAAAGAACTTGAAAGTGGCATGGAATGTGGAAGCCACCATAAAACCCAAGTGAAACCAGCATGCAAGGCAGAGGGGAACGTGGGTTTCGTAAAACAATGGAGGGAAAAGCCAATGCAGAATCAGCCCCAGTCTATAGACATGATATGTGATTTTATGGTGACTTTGGGATGACCAAATGTAGAAATTCTGAGAATCTGCTTTGAAAACACATTTTTGCACTGTGGCAGTGCCACAAAGAAAATGGGTTTGTGACATTTGTGGTTCAGCCTGTGGCCATGGACATAATAGTGATTTGATGGTGACTCTGAGATGACCAAATAGCTATGGATTTAAGATGTGGTCTGCTATATGAATGGTGGTTTTATTTTTTCAATCATGAATTCATGACTACGTGTTTTGCACCACTGCAAAGGATTGGAGCCGTGTTTTTTATGGTTCGTCTGTGGTCCTGGCTTTAATATGTGATTTGATACTGGATTTGGGGGACTTCTGTTTTAAAAAAAACACTAGAGGATCCAGGTAGGCCTGTTTTTACTTTCCCCCCTGCTCTGGCTGAATGTACTGAACTCAGTCTTGAATGCAGGTCTTATAAATAGTCTTGTATCAATAAAGCTATCCTGTCTGGTGTTGCTTCCGTGCTTCCCCCACATGGTGTGGACTTGGACAGTGAAAAGTACTCAACATTGAGTGATTCAGCAAGGAGTACTTTATTAGGTTAGAACAAGACAAGGACCCCCGGCACGCAGGCCGGTATATATGCCCAGAAACCCACCACCAAAGCACACCCACTAGTCATCCTATTGGCTATTTACAGTGGCCGAGAGTCCCATAGGCTCTCGGCCGCGGACCTGGCCCTCTGGTTGGTGCTGGCTAGGATCCGCTCAGCTATTGTTCTTCAGGAACTGTGCGCAACGACCGCATGGCCTGGTCTCACACGTGGTAATGGTGGATACATTACAGACAGTAGGGGAGTGAAGCTCAATAACCACTTCGTTAAACCTTTCCAAGCCCAGTGAGAGGAGGAGGGGGAACAGATGCGCTTGTAGGATTTGCCACAGGCGCGACAAAACTCAGCGGTTGCTGCCTCCTGTGGCGATGCCTGGGAGACTCTGGAAAGCGTCTCGTCTCCTCTCCCTTTCTCACAAACGGCTTTTTGCACCAATAAAACGGGATCATTTAAGGGTTTAACAAATGGGCTCTAGCCCCTGCAAGTTTATGCTGGGAATAAAGTCGTATTAGGTCTTTTAAGGCGCCACAAAGACTCCCTCTTTATTCTTGCGTCCATGGCTTCCGTATTCTCATTTGGGCTTCCTTGTATTCGGCGGGACTTGGTTCTGAAGGAACATGGCTGGTGTGGTGTTGAAAATACGACTCCACGTGTATGCGATTATTTCGGAGAGAATCACTTACGTGACTCGGGATTAAATCTACCATCCATCGAATTCTTACATGAAAGTAAGTGCCACTGAATTCTGCGGGACTGACTTCCAAGGAGCCGGTTGACAGGCACTCGCCTGTTGACAGGCACTCGCCTGGAGATCAGTTGTCATCCCTGGAGATCTCCAACCACCACCTGGAGGTTGGCAACTACATATGGTGAGAGCAGCTTTGCGTCTCCGCCACAAACCGCCTTTTGGGTAGGATAGCCTTTTGGTTGCCCTTCCCACTCCACCGCGCAAGCGCGTTGATGCCTGGCGTACTCTTCTCGTCGTCTTGACGACAGCGGCTTCTCCCTCTTTTCCCTCCTTCCGCCAACGTTATCATTTGTTTAGATGAGGGTCATTTTCTCCGGAAAAGGCGGGAATAGTAAACACAGAAACTCCGCCCATTCCTCCGAGTCACTCAAAAGGCGGAAGTGGCTGGTGGTGAGATTCTGATTGACAGCGATCAGGCAAGTCCAGGGAGGGAGATTAACAAACCGTTAAACTGGCGGGTACGTTTTGCTAACCGGGTAAAGCAGTCGCTAACAGACTGCAATGGGGGGGCGGGGTTGAGCGGACGATCGTGTTTCGAATGTGATTGGTTTACAAGGTGTCACGAGATAGGGCAAAGGGAGGAGGGGGCGAGGCGAGAGAAGCCATCGCGTGCCCGGCGCCTTCCCTTTTCTCACCAATCATCTGCTTCCGAGAGTTGCCGTTTAAATGAGTGGCGCGTGCTGAAGTGGCGGTAGCACGTCAGAGGCAGCGAAGAGTTTGATTGGTTGAGGGCTTAAGTACCTTTCTAAAGCCAGTAGAAAACGGAGGCAGTCAGGCTCTGAGAACTGGTGGTTGGGAAGGTAGGTCGTATTCCGTATTCGAATTTGTGACACACAAACCAAGCAAAAACACAATAGTAAGGTTTTTTAAATTCCTCCAGAAAGCTAGTTAACAAATTTAAATTAGCAGAGCTCAATCCGCCTTCCACGCTTGTTTAGGGCACAGCCTATTGAAATGAAACGCTTGAGCTGCATCGATTTCAGTGAGAAGGATGTTGAGGTGTGCCTGATTTTCACAATTATAACCAGTGTGATTTTCACAATTATAACCAGTGAGATCCCCCAAAATGACAGCTTATCTCAAGACTACATAGGTCTGTTCCCTTGGAGGATATGGCTTCTGTGGACTTTATGGTGTTAAACCCTGCCAACCCTAGGCACCACATCCAAATCTCCAGGAATTTCTCAACCCAGTGCTAATAACTCCACTATGGAGAACGCTTAAAGGATAAAACTGAAGGCCCTTACCAGCTGGTTCATGATTCTAGACAGTTAAGAAATAGATTGAAGGGGTTTGATGTTTCTCAGGAGGGTGACCAAGATTACTGGGGGGGGGGGTGGAGCACCTTCTCTATAAGGAAAGGCTGAAGAGTTTGGGACTTTTCAGTTTAGAAAAGATTTGACTGAGGGAGGGGCATGATGAAAGTTTATAAAATTATGTATGGGCTGAAGAGAGTTGACAAAGAGAAATTTCTCTCTCAAAATACTAGAACTTGAGGGCATCCAATGAAACTGATGGGCAGTAGGTTCAGGATGGACAAAAGGAAATACTACTTTATACAGAGAGTGATTAAAATGTGGAATTCGCTGCCAGAGGATGTAGTGATGGCTATAGGAATAAACAGCTTTAAAAGGATTAGATCGATTCATGGAGAATAAGTATATCAATGGCACTAGCCATGGTGACTTAGGGGAACCTCCACATTCAGAGGCACTAAGCCTCTGAATCCCAGAGCCAGGAGGCAACATCAGGGGAAGGCCTCTATGCCCTGTTGTTGGCTGTCCAGAGGAAGTGGTTGGCCACTGTGTGAGACAGGATGCTGGACTTGATGGGCCATTGGTCTGATCCAGCAGGGCTCTTATGTTCTGCTTAAAGGCATAACAATTTTCTGCAGTTGGCAAAGGATTTTCACTCTTAATAAACATTTTTGGAATGCAAGAATGATACAGTTCTACACATTAAATCCTGTTTGCTTTGTGTGCATTTTAATTAGCCATTATGACTACAGTAAAAGTGTAGCTTAGAAGTCAGAGAATCCCAATGATTTTTTGCAAGAATCCTTTTCCAGCTGAATCGTACCTATACCTGGAAGATTTTGGGGGAAATGTAAACATAGCCTTTAGTTATTTTAGTTTCTTAGAAACTAAACAGAAGAGGGACACTGGAGCAGTTGTGGTGTTTCCACTAAACACAGTACTGTTACTGGCTGTTGTTATTACTCTTTTGATATGAACTGTTCAAGTTCAGCTCAGGAGACAAATGGCTTCAGCTAAACCTAAAGTGAAGATTTTGCTTCTGACACAAGTACAGCTGGAACAGGATTGAGTGGATTTACAGTATGAAGCTGCCACAACTTCCCCTCCCCAATAATTTTCTGCTTAAATCATCATTGTTATTCCTTGAATTTCATATGTATAAATATACTAATAGATTCCTATTCTTAAGATTAGTTGACAGGTGTATTGCAGACCTGTTGATAAAAGGAATATTTGTCTTTACACGTGGTTAATTATTTACTTAAGGAATTTCTATTTCACACCCTTAACCAAAGTTCATAAAATAGCTTACAAGAAATAAAAAAGAGTGAAAAGGTAAAACAGAGGAAATGACAAATGGCTGAGGAAGATCAGCAGCAAAAAATATTAAAGTATCCACAGCAAAAAAACCTCCACAGGCACAAGAGTATCAAAGGATGGGGTAACTCCAGCTATTGACCGAAGGAGAAATGCTTATTCCCAATGTACTCGTTTGATCTAACAGTTCTTATATTTCTAGAAGGGAGAGGGAGAGTGAAATTAATTTTTACACTGTTGTAACTACATAAGCAGATACATGAGCAAAGGATTAATCATAATCCACCTCTGTGGTAGCATGAGCAGTTGCTGATAAAATTAAAATAAAAGTGGTAATCTGAATGACAGAAATAAGAAGTGCTATAAATAAATAAGAATAAAATAAAATACACTGTTAAAAACAAAGTTGAATATTTACGACTTAAGAAAAAGGTCACCTTTGGAAAGTCTGGAATGAATGAATTCTTACTAAAGTTTTCCTCTTAACAGAAAAAGGTAGCATGCTGCTGGTTGGAAAAGTATAAGGCACCATTTAAAAAAATTAATTACTATCATGGTCTGGAAAAGAAGACCCTTGTTCCAAAGGCTTGCAACCTAGAAATTTGTAATGGGGAAGCCATGGGCAAAGTAGAATATTAACAACAAATATGTTCTTCATCTGAAAGATGTTCCAGAGATTAAATGGAAAGCTATCCAGAGGGAAGGATAATAGTATTTAGGTGAGCAGACAATGCAAATGGGCCGACAAAAACTTTAGTTACCTGTGGTTAGGGTTGTTAGCTCTGGGTTGGGAAATTCCTGAAGACTTGGGGTTGGAGCCTGTGGAGGGGAGAGACTTTAGCAGCGTATAATGCCATAGGGTCTGTCCTCCCAGGCTGCCATTTTCTCCAGGTGAATTGATCCCTGCAGTCTGGAGACCAGTTGTCATTCCTGGAGATATCCAGTTCTCCCTCCTGCCCCAAGACTGGCAGCTCTAACTGGATTCCACTGTTTTAGCATAGCCAGCAGACTGGTTATACAAAGCGGATCTGCTGATGTTGTAACAGGCAGGTGATGCAGCCACTGCAAACGCCTTTTATACTTGCCCTTTCAATATGGCTCTTGAATAGCTCAAAATAACCTTTTCACCAGCGTACATACCCATGTCAGCTCAATCTATGCCCGCCCCCTTGGTAGGGTCTCTAAAATAATAAACTCATGTTACCTTTCTGTTAGAGCTAGAAGCTCAGATAACTAGACTCCCGAGTTTAATGGAATTTAATAAAACTAGTTTTACAGTATCGCAAAAATAATAATCAGCAGTGAAGGTTGTGGGGGAGAAATTCTCTGATGTTATGACTATTATTTGGTCACAGGGATCTATCTTTCCTTTGTTGCAGTTAAGTAATAGAAAGCCTATATAATGAGACTGGCCCATTAGTTGAGTAACACGATAGAAAGTCACTTTTATGACGTTTTATGGTCTGACAAGCAGAAATTTGTTGAGAGCTTATATAGGTCTTCAGCTCCAGACCCTAACCTCTATGGTCACTTATTCGAGATATAATAAAATTTCATATGGACAGGGCCTGTGTTTACAAGTTATCATAAAAGAAGCCCTAGCTATTGTACTGGACACTCCATTTTGATTTTAGGAATACTTTGTTCTCCTGACTGGCTAGCTGGAACAATATTTCAAGATAACCTAGCCAAGAATAGGACAAAGTTTGAATCCAGTAGCACCTTTAAGACCAACAAGGTTTAATTCTGGGTATAAGCTTATACGTAGAATTAAACTTTGTTGGCCTTAAAGGTGCCACTGGACTCAAACTTTGTTCTGTTGCTTCAGACCAACACTGCTACCCACCTGAATCTAACCAAGAATGTGTTTTTAATTGAGTAAACCAGGACCAGTATATCTGATGTAATTGTCCTGTTGTTCTAACAAACATTGTCTTCCAAAGTAGCTGATACAGATTAAAATGGAATACACAAATGATGTTGGTGGAGCGTGTGTGTGTACACAAGTGAAAATACGAACAAGCCCTCAAGCTTAATTTACAAAAACAAAGATACAGAATGGGAGTGGGCAAAAAGCTAGAGGAAGAGGAGGATCAAGTTGACAATGCCAGAAAGGAAGATGTTTTTAAAACGCCCTTTTACATCCCATTGAAAGCAGACTAGGTTCAGTTTCCCTTGTTAGTAGTTCTTTCTGGAGGAAATACAAGGACACTTGTGTGCAGCAGTTGTTTATTTATTTATTAAAACATTTATATCCTGCCTTTCCCCATGGTTCAAGGCAGCTTACAATAATAGTTAAAAACACTTTCAGTTAAAGCCAAAATAAAATAGCAACCCAGCCCCTGGATGTAGCAGAACAGCCAGATCTGGATACTGAAACTACACAAGACAAAGTCAAAGTGCCACCTGCAGAAAGCAGGAACTAAATCTACATGCGAGATCATTCCCACTGACAAAAGCAGTGAGAGAAATTAAATATGCATAATACTCCTGTATGTACCATGTTGAACTTTTAGAACAAAGTTTGAGTTCAGTGGCACCTTAAGACCAACGAAGTTTTATTCTGGGTATAAGCTTTTGTGTGGGGTCTTAAAAGATGCCACTGGACTCAAACTTCGTTCTGCTGCTTCAAACCAACACAGATACCCACCTGAATCTACCTTTTACAGCTGAAGAACAATGAGGCATGGCTTTGAGCTACAGTAAGATGCCAGTAATACATAACTAAACACAGTTGTGCAGGTACTGTGTGTTCCCATTTGATAGATGAAACAAAACAGCTTCTGAACCTTTTGCTTTTGGCGAAGTCTGGATGCCACCTTTGAGCTAATTTTTTGTTGTTGTTTTACATAGCGTGACTTCAGTGTATGAGAACGAACAAAGTGAAGCATAATCCAGGGAAGATGGAGGCTATGTAGTTTGGGAAGGCAAAGTGTTTGACTGGTATTGATGAGGTTAGGCCTTAGATGAAGTTAAGCTCTCTGTGGCAGATCAGGTGAAGAGTGCTATTGGACCCCAGTCTTGTTGATGGAGAAGCAAGGTCAGTGCCATTGCTAGGAACACCTTTTGGTTACCTCTGGCTTGTAAACTGGTCCCTTATTTAGACTCTGCTGACTTAGCCTTGCTGATTCATACCACCGTTTCTTCCAGACTGGGTTACTTTAACAGACCAGTTTGGTGTAGTGGTTAAGTGCATGGACTCTAATCTAGGCGAGCAGGATTTGATT